CTACTACTACTACTACTACTACTGCTGCTGCTACTGCTGCTGCTGCTACTACTATCCGTGTTTTCTACTTTAGAAAAATAGATGCCGGTACACACCCCAAAGTGTCTAAACATGGTTTCGGTGCTCACAAAGTGTCTACTAAAGTAACGTTGAAAAAAAGGGATGACTAAAAAAAAAAGTCTTTCATACTACTGCTACCACCACTACCATCACCACTACTTTTAACTTTTAGTGATATTATATAAGGATTTAGGAAATCGACATCCCAGCACTCGGGACACCTCTATAAGCGCCCCGTCCCCATCTTCAGCAGCTACGAAGAGTTCACATTCCGATGACACCAGTACCAGTATCTGATTGTATATCCGTCTCACTTTTCCCTTGAGGGTTGAACGTCGGCCAAATTCCCTGCTAACTCCTCGCAACGCCATTTTCCCCAGACCGTAATGATCCATTTGCGCTTCTGCACTGTTCACTCGTTCCAAGAGGGATCTTTTAAAATAACATATAACTTAACTTTCATCTTATTTAGAATAGCTTTTTATTCTATTTTATAATAACTTTTACAATAAGTAACAAAGTGAAGATCCCTTTTCGCGCCTTGGGCGCAACCGGCACATGGAATGAGCACCCATATATTGATTGACCAACCGTACAAGGTGGCTAATGTGGTCAGCATTACGCCTGCTGTCTTGACTTCTCCAGGACATACATCCTGGTACCCATTTTAGGCTGGGTCGACCTGCGACTCCCCTTAACATTACAAAAGTCCACGCAGCCAGCAGTGGGTTTAGATCGCGTTACGTCGGACTCGCAACGTCTAAGCGAGGGATGCCTCTTTAGTTACAATAACTAGTGATTATAGTATTTACAGTGGTTTCGACCGACGATGTTGGCAATGGGTAGCTGGTGAAACAGGAGTCAGCGATGCAAGAACTAATAAATAAAATGAATCCCCAGGTGACATCATTAGGCCTATATACACATATAGATCTGCAGTAAGCGGTAAGAAGTGTGGGTGGGATTTTATTGCAAAGGTGAACAGACACTGTTTAAACACAGACAGCCCTGCGTACATCGTCACAACATCCAGCATGAGAATGGAGGTGGAGGCAGTAACTGTAGCTTTTCGATGTCTTGAGAGCAGCACATCCCGACATTTTGTAACGGACAGTAATAGATTGGAAAGTGCTTAACCATGTCAATAAATGCAAGTATTTGGGGACAGTCATAACATCTGATGGACGATGTGTGACAGAAATTAAGAGCAAAATAGGACAGGCAAGGCAGCTTTTCAGAAGATGAAAAGTATTTTGTGTAATAAAACACTCTCATTAAAATATCAGAAAACGAGTACTGAAATGTTGCACCGAAGCTGCTCTATTGTGTGGCAGTACATCATTTTTGTTTTGTTTTTTGAACAAACATATTAGGAAGAGTTTGGAGGCAACTGAGGTGTGGTTCTTGAGAAAAGTGTTGAATACACCCTGGATTGCCAGAATAACTTAGGATGATTGTCTGGAAATGGCTAATGAAAGTAGAACATTATATACAAGAAGGAGAACGAGACAAAGTTCTTTGGTCATGTAATGAGAAAAGCAGCACTGAAAAATATTGTCACGACTGGAAAGATCAGCGGTACTAGAGGCAGAGGCAGACCAAGAGAAACGATGGTGGATGGCTTAAGACAGTGGCATGGAGGGATATCTTCAGTGGAATTGATCCAGAACACCAAAGACCGAGTTTTGTGGAGATGCACTAACACCTACACCAGCTGACAGGGCACTTGATGATTTAATGAACGGACTCACAGAGCATGCTTCAGAAAATTGAAACTGGTGTCCTTCACAGAGAGTGCCTAGCATTCCTTGATAAGGCTAAGATAAGGAGCAAGTCATAGATTTTCTGTCCAGGTATTCAGATGTGCCAGATAACGAGCAGGCTGATCAATTGGCTGCTGCCGCTCCACTGTATAAACCAATGCAAAACTGGTGTTGTCAGCTACCACACGCTGACGGATTTACTCAGGAGGGGATCCGAGCACTTTTGGACTGACTGGTTCGATGTGAAATAATAATCTGTCGACTTACTAACTAATTGAAGGAAGTGTCAAAGATTTGTTTATTTCGTCATCTATCTGATCTACATTTTTGCATTTCCCCGAAACCCTGGTGACGCTAAACGCTTAGTCCGCCATGTTTACTTCATGTGTTTGGAGATATTCAAAATAAATATCAACATTTTCTGATAATATAACACATTATTTCCACTTTGTAGCAAAAATTTTATAAAAGTCTGGCTTTCTTGCTGATGTTTTCATGTGAAATTGGACAAACGGTAATCAATCCAGCTCTTTTTGGTTTTTAAAATAATAATTAAAACAATAAACTGACAGTCAAAAATGAAATGAAACGCCGGAGACGCCGGCTGACACAGACTCATTGTGTCTGCTTTATTCTCTTCTCATACTAACTATAGTCGTATGCTCGCGCAGGAAAGCAGGATTCAGAATAGGTCTCAACAGAGTAGTGTAGTACTTACTGTATAGTATAGGCGTTACATGATTTGATTCAAGAACCGACATCACAGCACTCGGGGCATTCCCAATTCCCATAAGCGTTCCGTCCCTATCTTCAGCAGCCAGCGAAGAGTTCCGATACTAATGGTGCCAGTAGCATTCTGATTAAACGTCCGTCTTGCCTTTCCTGAGCCTCGAGCATCTCCTAGCACCTCTCGTCACTCCCTGCTGAATCAATCCCACCAGACTGTGGTGATCCTTTCGTTGCAGATACATTAAATTAAATGTAACGTCTCTAGACTTGACGGAACAGGGTATCTAGGAATCTCCCTTGAGTCTTTTAGGTTGAGCCACTTGAAGGGACCTTGGTGTGATTAATAAACAGGAAGACTGACTACCCATGGAAATGCCCAGAGTGCAGTAATAGCGATTGTAATAACATATCATTTTGTGGTCACAAAGCTTAGGGGGAAAAGGTGGGGGTGGGGGTGGGCACTGCTTAGGGCTATTCTCCGAATAACGGTCCCAAATTATCGAGGCCGAAAATATACCCTAATAGGGCCTCAGTCACGTGTCAGTTGCGAACTTCTGGCAACTCACAAGCAGCAGCTACCGCATCTCCTGCAGCTTCCTTTATTTTATTTGCTCTCCGCATGAGAGATACTCTCGGTGATGGCGGTATAATCCCCAGAACTCCGCAATTTGGAGATGGCGGTATAGTCCTCGGAAGTTCGCAATTGATAGCTGACTGAGGCCCTGTTAGGGTATATTTTCGGCCTTGATAATTTAGGACCGGTATTCGGAGGATAGCCCTGCTTAGAATTTCCACCTCTCCCTCCTTTCACCTAACACATTTTCTAGGCAAAGCGTTCCCCCCATCTAAATTTATTTTTAAAAAATATAATAATTAAGAAACAAATTGGATTGGTTCGGCTTCTCAGCCATCAGTCACACCATCTTTACCATCTTTACCACCTGGACAAAATATCTTAGACACTTTTAACCCCCCCCCCCCCCCCCCCCCCCCCCCCCCCCCCCCCCCCCCCCCCCCCCCCCCCCGTCATTGCACTCGGGACACTCCCATAAATGCTCCCTCCCCATCTTCAGCAGCAAGCGAAGAGTTCCAATTCTGATGGCACCATTAGCCGTCTGATTGTATATCTGTCTCCTCCTTCCCCCTGAGTGTTGAGCATCGCCAAATTCCCTAATAACTCCTCACAGCGCCATTCTCCTCAGACCGTAATAATCTATGCGGATCTGCACTGTTAACTCGATCCCAAAGGGCCCTCATTATATCTAGCTTGACATACATCAATTTACCACCAGGGGGTGCACAGCCGGCCAGGCTATCAGCCTGCTCATTTCCTAACACAGCTGCATACCCTGGAGAAAATATCCAAAGGATAGATGCAGTTTCCACATATGGACGGTAGTCTACAGTTTTACTGCCTAAGCTACTGAGTTAAGTGCTTGGTGCAGCGCTGTGAGCTGCATTTTCCATGTGGAATTCCTGTCGTTTGTGCAGCCGTTGTGTCGTGGTATTTAGTATGGCAAGTAGCCAGTTTACATTTGGGCTGGCAAAATACCTCATGTCATAATTTTGTGTGTGTAAGGCCAACTTATCTTGATGACTACTTCTATCAACAGAGAAACTCCATTTCTAGTGGGCACTGTTGGCTTTGGAGCCTCTAGCAACTATCTTATGCAATTACTGTGTTTACATATTTCATGACTGTGCCTGATAGGAGAAACTTGTTCTTTTTTATAGCATCTCTCCATTTTACTTTGATATTTATTGTTGGCCACTGCTTTCTATTGTGCCATTACTATATACATAAAAAAAAAACAATACTCATTTAACCTGCTGCTAGCGGCAAAATTTGGTTATACTTATGGTCTGATTTTATTGTGCCATGTGTATTGCTTGAGACTGGAGGAACTGTGCCAGTTTTGATGGCTTTGTGTCTATAAATGGATGTGTTGTCCATTCCTGTATGTCTACCTTTTCTCCAAGATATACCGGCGTTTTGGGTAATGAACAGGCAGATAGATTGGCTAGATCTGCACCACTGGGTGGTGAATTGATACATGACAAGGCAGATGTGGTCAAGGCCCTTTGGGAACAAGCAAGAAAATCAGTAGAGAAAAAATATTAGTATGGCCTGGAGAGAATGAGGCACCTGGGTGTAACCAGAGGGTCTAGCCAGCTCACTACACTGAGAGGAAAGGCAAGATGGACATATAACCAGATTGTGACCGGTACCATCAGTACTGGAACTCTGCGCTAGCTGCTGAAGATGAGGACGGAGCATGCATGGGAATGCTTCGAGTGCTGTGATGTCAATTCTTGACTCAACTCAACTCCTGTATGTCTAGGTCCAATTGTGGTCCTGTTATCAGTTTGGTCTGTATGATTTTTGCCTGCTTTGTAGTTTCTATTGTTAATCATCAGTTTCTGTTGTCCCACAGAAATATGGTGAAGATGTACCTAACTCTGGACCTCATATTGAAGACACTGGTCACTTCAGATTTTGCTCATTCAGAGAACAAGAACTGGGATGCAATTGCTCGACTGGTGCCAGGGATATCAGCCATTCAGGTTTGAATTATTTGCATACAAATCTTGGAAGGTCAGTGAACAAATTAGGAAGAATTTGGAAGCAACAGAGATGTGGTTTCTGAGACGAATATTACGAATACCTTGGACGGCCAGGGTAACTAACAACGATTGCTTGAAAGAAGCTAATGAAAGTACATCTCTATATTCAACAATAAGAAAGAGACAAACACTATTCTTTGACCACATAATGAGAAGGGAGACATTGGAGAACATCATGAAAACTGGAAAGATCAGTGGAAAAAGGTAAAAAAAGGGGTAGAGGCAGATAAAGAGAGATGATGCTGGATGGGCTGAAACGATGGCATAGAGGGATATTATCAAGAGAGCTGTTTTAGGTAACCAAGGATCGTGATCTGTGGAGACACATGAGCGCCTACGCCATTTGACAGGGCACACATGATGATGATGATGATGATACAATCACTGCAGCTCTGATTTGAATAGCAGAAGACAAAGTTAGCCGAGGAATTCTTGTGTGTGATTCTCAGTCGATACTGTAGAAGGTTCAAAATGAACTACTGTGGCGTGAGTGGATACAGTGCATCAGAATTACAGGGAATCACATGGATATACTGTCCAGGATACGCAGGAGTCTGAGTGAATGAAAAAGTGGATTTTCTAGCTACGGGAACACTTGTACTAAACAAAGGAGATAATTTGAGGACAGTATATGAACCATGTTGACAGAAGACATGAGATTAGATGAAATAACATGTATAAGAGTCTATGAATGAGAAACTAGGAGTTGATCTGCAAGGAGGGATGTATGAAAGGAAGAGAACAAAGTGTGTATAATCAGTGTGCTACAGCAACAGTTAGCATTTACCCCTTGAGAAATGTGCTGTGGGAGACAGAGCATATATGGGTATGCCCAGTGTGTTATGATGTTGAATGTTGAATTAAGAATCGACATCACAGCACGCAGGGCACTCCCATAAGTGCTCACTCCCTTTCTTCAGCAGCAAGCGAAGAGTTCCAATTTCGATGGTACCCGTAACCATCTGGTTGTATATTTATCTCATCCTTTCCCTGAATGTTGAGCGTCAGCCAGATCCCCTGTTAGAGCTATGATGTTGATTCTTAAATCAGTAAATCAGTAAACACAATATGTGAGTGTTGATTAATATGCATAGACGACAGTTCGTTTCACATAGTGCATGTCTTGACAGCACAGACATTAGTTGATTACGTATGCTGCATTTTTTCCAGCAGTAAGAGTGTCTATTTTCTCTCTCCTCTTTGTCCTCTCTGCATAGTGTACATTGCTTAGAAACTGCGAAAGACATATATGGCGTATATGGCTGAACCTATATTTTATAGACCACTCGGCGCTTGGTGTGTGATTTGGTCAGCATTGCACCGGCCTACTTTACTTCCCAGGACTGTACCTGGTACCCATCTAAGGCAGCCAGGGTCATTTTTTTGTTGTTGTTGAAAAAAAGGTCCTGCACTGCCAGGGCCAGAACTCTGACCTTCAGATCTGCAGGCGAGCATCTAGCCACTACACCACGGTGGCTTCCAGGCATTGCAAACACACTTTGTAAGTCCGAGGTGCTTGGTTTGATCCTAGTTGCTGGTGATTTGGCAGCAGACCAGTTTGCATTGGTCTTGACAGTGGTATCAAAAGTTGTCAATTCAGACAGTAGTGGTAATCTATTGAACATGCGATTGGCTGGGGAAATTACAACTAGCAAAAAAATGCTGGGGTTCGTTCTTCAATATCCTGTAAATGATACACCTGGCTTTTTTTTGTTTTTAACTTACCGTTCTGCTTCCTCATTCTGCCCCTCCTTCCTCTTCCTTTTTCTTCTACTTCTTTTCCTACTTCTCATCCTTCTTCTTCTTCTATTCCTCATCCTCCTCCTCCTTCTTCTGCTTCTACGTTTTCGTCGTTGTCTTTGGCTGCTGCTGCGGCGGTTGCTGCTACTGCTTCTGCTTCTTTTTTTTTCTTTTTCTTCTTCTTCTTCTTCTTCTTCTTCTTCTTCTTCTTCTTCTTCTTCTTCTTCTTCTTCTTCTTCTTCTTCTTCTTCTTCTTCTTCTTCTTCTTCTTCTTCTTCTTCTTTTTCTTTTTCTTCGTCCTCTTCTTCTTCTTCTGCTCCTACTCCTCTTCCTCCTGTTCCTCTTCCTTATTCTTTTTTTTCTTCTTAGTATTATTATAATTGAAGAGTGACTGACTGGCTGGATGGTAAGAACGCTGGGCTCTCAAACGAAAGACCCGGGTTCGAGACCTCAGTAAGGCTGGGGATATTTTCTGTCTGGAGCAAAATAAAAAATCCTCACCTTCAAAATCTGTGGCGACAGCACTAGCCATGTGGCCTTAAATCCTCAGGCTCGAAGACTCGACCCCCCCCCCCTCCCTTTACGCCTACACCGCAAACGTGATAAAATAAAGGCAGTAATTGGCAGTATTATTATTACTACTAGTCCTGCTCTTTTTCTTCTTCTTCTTCTTCTTTCTCCTACTCCATTGTTGTACAATATAATGATAAAGCCACCTTCAACACAGTGTGCCCGCAGGTATGAGGAGCTTCTGGCAGGTGATAGCAGCGTAGCTCTCCAACACCTGAGCTACAGCCTCAGCAACACAGCTGCGTCTGCTAGCACTAGTGGCATCAGTCTAGCAGACTCTGAGTTTAGCAGTCAGTCTTCAAGTCATTTACGGCCAAGCTCCAGTCGAAGCAAAGGTACAGGGCTTCTACTGCTTCAATTTATTTACATGTGTGTATGTCTGTATGTATGTATGTCACAGTGGTAAGTATATAGACAGTTAGATAAGGAGTTAACTGTTTGATCGGCAAAGAGACATGCTAGAGTTAGCACAAGACGAGCTTGAACATGAGATACACACGTGCTGACTCCAGTTAATGGGCATGTCAGATGAATGAAACAAATCTGAACTCTAACATGTCTACAACTGTTATCCAAAACCTGAATGGACACACGAATACACCGTTGGTTTATTAAAGGAAGAAAGCAGAAATAAATGAAGGAGCTGGATCGGTTATCATGCTGCGAGATGGGACCATACTAGAAACGTCTTGCGCCTCAGGAAGACTCTCAACAAACTTCAGAGCAGAGCAGCATGCAATTAATGATTAAGCCAAAGTTCTTGAGGAAAAAAAAAATTTAAAACAGCAAAATTGTTTTCCTTTGTGACTCAGAGGGATCCACGAGACAACAGGGAGAGAGAACTGACCCACCACCTAAACAGACTCACAGAAAACAATCAAAACGTTCTCAAGTGGATCCCGGCTCACGGCAGCATACCAGGAAATGAGTTAGCAGACAGACCTGCAAAAAATGGAACAAAAGAGAAACAACGGACTCATTCATTGTCATTACCAGAAATCAGAAAACTAATCAGAAAAAAATACAAGGAATTGTGAAGAGAACAAACCAATAGTAAACATTCACAAGATTCCATTGGCAGACTCAATAGAAAGCAACATACAACAATTTTTCATCTGCGAACAGGACACTGAGGCTCAGCTACCACTTGCATAAAATAAAGATTGTACAGACCCACAGTGTGCTTGTCAAACAGGACCACAAACACCTGAGCACATTCTGCAGACCTGCCCACTCTACCTTCAACTTCAAAAAGATACCTGGCCTCAAGAGCAAAGTGTGCAGAGCAAGCTTTGGGAAATCATGAAGGATCTGCTACTGACATGCGAGTTCATAGAGCCAACCCAGCTGATGGTTTCATCTGAGCATATGAAACCGAATGCAAAAAAGGAGAAGAAGGACTCTAATAATTTAGACTATTAGTCATTAAAATATTTTTTTTTGTTTTGTTTAGGATTTTTTAATTTTTAATTTTACACAATATTACAACAGTGACTATAAAAAAGAAATGTCTGAAACAGCAACTATACTCATTTTAGCTAGGAGCCGCCACTGATATAGAATTCACAATAATGCAGTGACTAAATAATTGCCTGCTGATCTGAATGTCTTGGGTTCAAATCCACATAAGGTGAAAAATGATTTGAGTTTGAGATTGATCCAACCTAAAATGGGAACAAGAAAATACCACAGGTAGTAAAGGTGGCCAGTGGGATGTTCACAGCATCAAGCAAATTATCTTTCAAATACTAATTGGTCTATCAAAAATGCCAGAATGAAAAGAAGATAGAAAGAGTTGAGGTAAAATATTAACTGGAATGGAAATAGTTGAAAGGTTTATAGTATTTTTTATATTTTCTTTGCATTGCCACTCTAAAGGAAGCAGAGATGACAAAGGAAAATCAGAGAACAAAAACGAACAGCCAAAGCTGGATGTCGTTCACAATGGGTATGAGTTTAACAATATAAATGAATTTTTTCTAAACCAAATGTCTATATCAGTGTTTCTCAACCATTTGTGTGCCATGCCCCACCCAAGCCTTTCTGACAATTCTTATGCCCCCTTTGTAACATTTACATAATATGTAAACTCGGAATACATCTACCTATATATCTAAATTGCCCCCTTTAACAATCAAATCCCCTCCGACATCCCCAACAATCAAATACCCTCCAACATCCCCAACAATCAAATACCCTCCGACATCCCCAACAATCAAATACCCTCCCACATCCCCAACAATCAAATCCCCTCCCACATCCCCAACAATCAAATACCCTCCGACATCCCCAACAATCAAATCCCCTCCGACATCCCCAACAATCAAATACCCTCCGACATCCCCAACAATCAAATCCCCTCCCACATCCCCAACAATCAAATACCCTCCCACATCCCCAACAATCAAATACCCTCTGACATCCCCAACAATCAAATACCCTCCCACATCCCCAACAATCAAATCCCCTCCCACATCCCCAACAATCAAATCCCCTCCCACATCCCCAACAATCAAATACCCTCCCACATCCCCAACAATCAAATACCCTCCCACATCCCCAACAATCAAATACCCTCCCACATCCCCAACAATCAAACCCCCCCCCCCCCCCCACCTTAACAGTCAAATTGCATGAGCCCCATGTTGGCAAACACTGGTCTGTATGAATTTAAGCAGATGTTGACATGAATTTTACCAAATATCTGCATGAATTTGATAAAATGTCTGCAAAAATGTTTACAAATATCTGTACAAATTGTACACAAGTGTCTTTATGAATGTTAAAAACTGTTTTTCCATCATGAATACTCACCACAGTGTTTCTTAAGAAAGGTGCCAGTACTCACCACAAAGTACCAGTACTCACCACAAAGTGCCAGTACTCACCACAAAGTACCAGTACTCACCACAAAGTGCCAGTACTCACCACAAAGTGCCAGTGCTCACCACAAAGTGCCAGTACTCACCACAAAGTATCTATGATATAAACACTGAAAAAAATATATGCACTAAAAAATGTGCCAGTACTTGTACCAGCAAAAATTGCTCTGGCTATATCTCATCCATTGGAAAGATGTAGATTTTATTTGTTTTGTTTTTAAATCCACAGTGACAATTTTTATTTAAATGACTTGTTCTATCAAGATTGCCCAGCCTAAAATGGTTGTCTCCTGTGAAGTAAGTACAGCCGGCATGATGTTGGCCACATCATACATTGAGGTCCCCGTGTGGGTTCCGGAGCTGCACTGTGGGGGGGAAACGGACTAGACCCCCCTGTTCCCCAACAAGCGTGTCATAAAATTAGACTGATTAGGTGTGTTTCTTTCCAAGTTGGAGTGCATCTTTTTCAGAGGCAAGGACACAGCAGTCTGTGTACAAATAGGCCAGATCAGTAAAACATGTATGCACATGAAACTTTAGTTTTTTTTTTAACCAGACCAAAGTCCAGAAGTGGATAAACAGCCATAACTTTCCGCCGAGTTTACAGCTGGTGATTGTGAAGAAGAAGACCTATCAAATGCTGATTGGTCTATAAAATAAATTATAAAAATGCACACCATATACCCGATGCACATGGATGAGATCTGATGGAAGATGTATAAAAGAGATAAAGCACAGAACAGGACAGACCAGAACTGCCTTTTATTGAAATGAAGAACATTTTGTGCAATAAATTCATGTAATTGAAGGTTAGGAAAAGAATTCTCACAAGCTATATAGAGCCATTTTTAACATACGGCTGTGAATCCTGGATAATTAATTCAGAGTCTGAACAGTATCTTGAGGCCTTAGAGATGGGATTTTACAGAAGAATCCTTAGAATTCCTTGGACAGCTAAGAAGAGCAACCCAGATGTTTTGAAAGAGGCGAATGCTCGAAGACAACTTATCACAAACATCAGAAAAAGACAGTAATCATTTTTTTTGTTTATGTAATGAGAAAAGGGAAAATAGAACATGTGACCACTGACAAGATTTGTGGAAAGAGAGACAGACAGAGACAGCGTGAGAAGATTCTTTGTCATGGCACAAAGGGGTATCAACACATGAACTGGTACACACAGTTGCGGACCACATATTGTCGAGAGACATGATCGGCCACATCAGTCGGCAAGGCACTTGATGATGATGATAGTCAGTGCAACACTAGCATGAAGAGCATCTTGTGTATTTTTTGTTTAAAGTACATGTAATGTCATGCCGACCTTGTACTTTCACGTGACTTTGTCTTCTGTCACCTACAGGCCGGTGATGGTTATTCATGTCTGCGACGAAGCTAAAAGCTGTAAGTTTTGCTTAATGCTTGCCATTGTTTTAGACTTCTGTCTTTGAGATTGTAAGTTTGTGTGTGAATGTACATTGTAAGTAAAAAAAAAAAAGTTAAGATCCCTTTTCACGCCTTTCGGCGCATCGGGCATATGGGCTGAGCGTCCCATATTTTTACAGACCATCAGCACTCAGTGGGTAATGTGGTCAGCATTACGCCGGCTGTCTTTACTTTCCTAGGACAGCCCATCCTGGTACCCATTTTAGGCTGGGTCGACCTGCGTCGTCCCATACCACGACAAAAATCCACGCAGCCTGCAGTGGGTTTCGATCGCGGTATGCTGGCTTACGAGTCGGACTCGCAACCCCTTAGCCACGGACGCCGCAATGTACATTGTGGGTTTTGTTTTCATCTTTTTATGGTTTTGTTTGAATCTGCATTGTAGGTTGTGTTTGAATCTGCATTGTGGGTTGTGTTTGAATCTGCATTGTGGGTTGTGTTTAAATCTGCATTGTAGGTTGTGTTTGAATCTACATTGTTGGTTTTGTTTGAATTTGCATTGTAGGTTGTGTTTGAATCTGCATTGTAGGTTGTGTTTGAATCTGCATTGTGGGTTGTGTTTGAATCTACATTCTTGGTTGTGTTTGAATCTACATTGTGGGCTGTGTTTGAATTTGCATTGTGGGTTGTCTTTGAATCTACATTGTAGGTAGTGTTTGAATCTTCATTGAGTTTTTGCATATTGTTCATTTGTTTTTGATTTTGTGGTTTTGTTAAAATCTATATTGTGGATTTTTGTTTGCATTTGTGTTGCAGAGTTTTGTATGAATCCAAAGTGTGAGAGATTGTTGGAGACCTATTGCAGTCAGATTTGACAGTCATAGTGGACACGTTGATTGACTGATAACTGGGGTTTTGGTTTGTGACAGTTGCCAGCAGTTTAATTCTGACCAGTCTTGTTATTGTTTGGTTAGAGGTGGACACCACATCTGTGCATATATGCGTGCCTGTGTGTGTGTGTGTGTGTGTGTGAAAGGGGGTGGGGGGGGGGGCAGATGGAGACAGAGACAGATACACACACAGAGGAGAGGAGTGGCAGAAAAGATGTGTGTGTGACAGAAAGTGAGGTGAAAGGGGCAGGGGAGAGAGAAATGAAATTAGAATTTGGAATTAATTAATTAACATTGGTTTCAAGTTAAAGTAGAAGAAATGAATACTTTCCAGTAAGGCAAGATTTTCACTGTCCAAGAGACCTGCTTGTTGAAGAAATGAAATATTTTGCTGAATATCTGTCAACTGACGCCCATCGCTGGCAGGAGGTAGACATTTCTGTTCACTGTAATGTCCAGATTTTTGACTGGCTAATGAAGTATGTCAAACGGGGAACCAAAGGCCACACAGAAAACCCAAAACTGGGTAAGTTAATCTGTTGTGTATTTAGTTTTACTAGTATTGTTCATGTCATTTTCTATGCTTAGAACAGGGCTATTCAACTGGTGGCCTGCTGGAGAAATCTGGTAAGCGGAAGCCTAGCAAGTGGCCTTAGTATCATTGCCACTTGTACTGTATTAATGTTTTTTTCTGTGGTGGAGTTCTGGCCCATGAAAATCATCATTTTCAAAATGTTGGCCCCTGAGTAAACTTAGTTGAATAGCCCTGACTTGGAAGTTGTGCATTCCTCAGCATCGAATTGAAGAGTATAATAGAATCACATGTGTAGAGCTTTGAGAAGGAATGAAACAAACAGAAGAGGATAAGATGCTGGTATTGGATAGGACACAAATATATTGCAGGATTTATTGCCTGGCATATTTCACTGTATCTCACCAGATGTATTACTGCATAGTTAAATCATCATATAATGAAGCATAAAAATTAATTCTTTTAATCCATCTGGTCACTTAACTATTGTTAACAAGGTACAGTAAAATTTGCCAGGCACATGGGGCAGTCATAGATAGATCATTAATGTTTGAGGAGAATGACGCTGCGAGGAGTTACCAGGGTATCTGGCAGAAGCTCGAAACTCAAGGGAAGAGCGAGACGGGCATACAGTCAAACAGTTACTGGTGCCACTTAAATAAGAACTCTTTCTTAATTTGCTACTGAAGATGGTGACTGAGCCCTTTTGGAAGTATCCCAAGTGCTATGATGTTGATTCTTAATTCAGCTTTCAACAACATATGCCATGCAGTAAACTGTGCAATGCATTGTTTGTGTCCACGTTATTTAAATTTACAACACCAAATCATTGTTTTCAATGTCTGAAATAATTGTTAATTTTGGTGCAGTAGAATTAAAGAGCATGAAAGTATGTTGTTAAATGCATCCTTACCTTCTCCTTTTCAGAAGCAAATAATGTCATCTCCATTCTGATCTCCTCTGATTTTCTCAAAATGGACTCCTTGGTAATTATGCAATTGTTTTGTGTTTTCTCCACATGAGTTTGAGGGTCCATTGTTTTGTGTTTTCTCCACATGGGTTTGGGGGTCCCAATTTTGGAGAGAAAAATAATAAACTTACTGCCCTGCTTTCTCCCCCCCCCCCCCCCACCCCCACCCCCCACCCCCCATCCCACAACCCACAAACATGTGGTAAGTGACGATTTATTAGGAGTTAGCTGAAACTGGATGTATTCAGCCAAAAGGCGCAGATATTGAAGCCTGTCTGTAATACACAGAAATTATTCCAGTGAACTGTGACTAAAAATATACAAATCAATGTTTGTGCAGGGCCTTTCTCGACATAAATTAACTACACAGCAAAAAACAAAGGGAACAGTACTCTGCCCACAGGCAGAGTACTGTTACGAATCCCGCAACGTAATTTATGCAATTATATGCAAACGATGCAGCAAAGCATACATTGGGGAGACTGGCAGGAAGCTAGCTGATCGTTTCCGGGAACACCTCTCTGATATCGACAAGAAGACACTCAAACCAATACCTCTTCATTTTAATAGCCACAGCGGTAAAGATGACATATCTGTCACAGCATTAAAATCTTTGGAAAATCGCCTTATCTACAGCCTTGGCGTTCTTAGTCCAAGTGGTATCAATATCCAACATACCTTCATCTAAATAGTTCTAATCTATCACATTTTAAATGTTAATTATTTTATTTTATTTCATATTATTACTTTATTCTATTTCTTATCAGTTTCATTTATGTATCATTAACACTTGCATTTCTTTTATTCCCAGTATTGTGACTATATTTTTTCGCCTTCGTTTATTTAATTTTATTTCATTTATTCTGCATCACATTTTTTTTAACGTCGCTCACGTCACCCCTTAGAGATCTACATACTCCTCGTTTGTGTATTTCACTTATGTTTGAAAAAGGCTGCCCGGCTGAAACGTTACGTTGTGTTGTTTTGTGCACGTTTTCCTCTTTCCCATTTTGTTGAGCTTTTTAGTCAAATTTCTCTGGAATTCATTGTATTAGCTTGACTGCAGTCACCCCCATAGTTTTGCCCACAGGAAGGGGGAGGGAGGGGGGGTTACTTGAGAAATTTTAAAAAGATAATGTGGATTGAATAAAATAAAATAAAATGAAGGAAGGCTAAAAAATAGTCATAAAAGTAATTGTGATAATATATAATAGTAGTAAAAATTAAAGAGTAGTAGAAGTACAAATTGATTAATGATTCATAACTAGTACTGAAAAGATATAGAATAAAATAATAATATGAAATAAAATATAAGTACAGAAATTAAAAATATAAATGTAATAAAGCTTCAATACAACATGTCAACCATCCTTTTGAGAGTAATGCAGAAGAAGAAGGAAAAGGTTTTAAAAAAAAAATATATGCGTGTCTTAGTAAGTAAGGATAAAGGACACTTCTACCCACTGGTACAGCTGGCATATGGCAGCCACTGTGGTGTAGCGGCTAGACGCTCACCTTTGGATCTGAAGATAATGAGTTCAAATCTGAACTTGGTTTTTTTTTTTCTCCGAAAATGACTATGGCTCCCAGGTTGATCCAGCTTCAAATGGGTAGGAGGTGAACTCCTGGGAAGCAAAGGCGACTGGCGTGATGCTGATCACATCATCCATCAAAGGGCCATTGTCTACAAAATAAAGGTCTAGCCCGATATGTCTATTATGCCTAGAAGCATGGAAAAGGCTCCTTTACTTATTTTACCATATGTTTATGTTGAAAGTAGATAATTTAATCCATTCATATGTTCATGTTGCTTGCGTGGTCTTGAGGCATGGTGTCCGTCTCGAGTGCTAGAGGTTCCGGGTTCAATCCCCGAAAGGGCTGGGATTTTTTCACGTCTACCTGGTCTCTGGGTAGTGAGATCAAACGCCCGTGTGTATTGTTGCACATGTAGAAAATCCCTTGGCAGTTGGAAATCTAAAAAAATAGCCTAACGGCGCTGCCCGGGCACAATTTGGAGTTAAAAATCTACCCAAAGTATTTCAGGATCCTCGCCGGTGCTACAGAGCCTGTGAATTGTTCTGAGCTTCTTCAGACGCAGACTTGAGTTGGAAGAAGAATGGAGCACTTATGGATTACTATGTGCCATGATGTTGATCCGTTGTTCAAACTATGTTGCTGATGTTTAGTTTACTCCATTTAAATGTGCATATTGTTGGTGTATAGTTTACTCCATTCCTATGTTCAGGTTGCTGGTGTATTATTTGCATCATTCATTATGTTCACATTAGTGAATAGTTTACATCATTCTCATGTTATCATTAGTGAATAGTTTACATCATTCTCATGTTATCATTAGTGAATAGTTTACATCATTCTCATGTTCACATTAGTGAATAGTTTACATCATTCTCATGTTCACATTAGTGAATAGTTTACATCATTCATTATGTTCACATTAGTGAATAGTTTACATCATTCTCATGTTCACATTAGTGAATAGTTTACATCGTTCTCATGTTCACATTAGTGAATAGTTTACATCGTTCTCATGTTCACATTAGTGAATAGTTTACATCGTTCTCATGTTCACATTAGTGAATAGTTTACATCGTTCTCATGTTCACATTAGTGAATAGTTTACATCATTCTCATGTTATCATTAGTGAATAGTTTACATCGTTCTCATGTTCACATTAGTGAATAGTTTACATCGTTCTCATGTTCACATTAGTGAATAGTTTACATCATTCTCATGTTATCATTAGTGAATAGTTTACATCATTCTCATGTTATCATTAGTGAATAGTTTACATCATTCTCATGTTCACATTAGTGAATAGTTTACATCATTCTCATGTTCACATTAGTGAATAGTTTACATCATTCATTATGTTCACATTAGTGAATAGTTTACATCATTCTCATGTTCACATTAGTGAATAGTTTACATCGTTCTCATGTTCACATTAGTGAATAGTTTGCATCATTCATTATGTTCACATTAGTGAATAGTTTACATCATTCTCATGTTATCATTAGTGAATAGTTTACATCATTCTCATGTTATCATTAGTGAATAGTTTACATCGTTCTCATGTTCACATTAGTGAATAGTTTACATCATTCTCATGTTATCATTAGTGAATAGTTTACATCGTTCTCATGTTATCATTAGTGAATAGTTTACATCGTTCTCATGTTATCATTAGTGAATAGTTTACATCGTTCTCATGTTATCATTAGTGAATAGTTTACATCGTTCTCATGTTATCATTAGTGAATAGTTTACATCATTCTCATGTTATCATTAGTGAATAGTTTACATCGTTCTCATGTTATCATTAGTGAATAGTTTACATCATTCTCATGTTATCATTAGTGAATAGTTTACATCATTCTCATGTTATCATTAGTGAATAGTTTACATCATTCTCATGTTATCATTAGTGAATAGTTTACATCATTCTCATGTTATCATTAGTGAATAGTTTACATCGTTCTCATGTTATCATTAGTGAATAGTTTACATCATTCTCATGTTATCATTAGTGAATAGTTTACATCATTCTCATGTTATCATTAGTGAATAGTTTACATCGTTCTCATGTTATCATTAGTGAATAGTTTACATCGTTCTCATGTTCACATTAGTGAATAGTTTACATCGTTCTCATGTTATCATTAGTGAATAGTTTACATCGTTCTCATGTTCACATTAGTGAATAGTTTACATCGTTCTCATGTTATCATTAGTGAATAGTTTACATCGTTCTCATGTTATCATTAGTGAATAGTTTACATCATTCTCATGTTATCATTAGTGAATAGTTTACATCGTTCTCATGTTATCATTAGTGAATAGTTTACATCGTTCTCATGTTATCATTAGTGAATAATTTACATCGTTCTCATGTTCACATTAGTGAATAGTTTACATCGTTCTCATGTTATCATTAGTGAATAGTTTACATCGTTCTCATGTTATCATTAGTGAATAGTTTACATCGTTCTCATGTTATCATTAGTGAATAGTTTACATCGTTCTCATGTTATCATTAGTGAATAGTTTACATCGTTCTCATGTTCACATTAGTGAATAGTTTACATCGTTCTCATGTTATCATTAGTGAATAGTTTACATCATTCTCATGTTATCATTAGTGAATAGTTTACATCATTCTCATGTTATCATTAGTGAATAGTTTACATCGTTCTCATGTTATCATTAGTGAATAGTTTACATCGTTCTCATGTTATCATTTGTGAATAGTTTACATCGTTCTCATGTTATCATTTGTGAATAGTTTACATCATTCATTATTTCATGCTGATAGTGTATAGATTACATGATAACATGAGCATGACTTGTGTTTCTAGGTCTCTGAATGCATCAACTTCTGCCATAAGAACATGACAGCAATCGTGGCCACACCTTGCAACATGGGTTGTATCAATGACAGGCTCTTGACCAGGTTAATGTGTTTTTTTGTGTGTTTGCACAAATTCTCAGTATCACACATTATTCTTGTTCACATTCACCAGCTGTAAGTTCTGGGTGTTCGTCCACCTCTGGACTTTGATCTTGTTCCAGAACATGAGCATTGTGTGAACATTTGTTTTTACAGATCTGACTTATTTGTATGCAGATTGTTGGTTTTTGCTTCTCAGGCAGATGCACTCTGACTTCAGAGGAAGTCCTCAGTTAGTCGACTCTTACAACATTTTTGTTTGAGAGGCTACGGGTGTGTTCTTGTTTTCCCCCCCCCCCCCCCAACCTCCCTCTCCCCCACAATAGGACCCTGAAACCCAGGCGGGGTAACTCACTGAACTGAGACCTGTTGATATTTCATGTGCCTGTTTGGGTTCAAGGGCTCCATGTTTCTAGGATGACCATGAAGAGATGTAGACAAGACTTGATGAGCATTAGCCCTAGTATTCAGGACTTGACCAACATAAGCCCTAGTCCTGGTGCTACACACAATGCAGTTATGCTCAGTCCAAAGTTGTTCTATAGGAATAGCAACATAACATAACATAACCCTTGACCCCTTAGGATTGTGGAGGTGTATCGATCGAAGCACTAGCATAAAAAACCTGACATCTTTCTCAATCTTCCACCTGATAAATGTATGATAATTTTAGTCCCATCCATTTTTTGATGTGGTTATTCCAGATTCTTCTTTACCCTTCTCTTCTTTGACTAAAAGGACTTCCTTTGGAGAGAGTTAAACTCACAATTTGAAAACTTTCTGTTTTTTGTTGTTGAAATTATTGAGCATAGAATTACCAAGTGAATAGCTATAAACATCATTCATAATCATCATCCTCATCATTGTCTTGTTGTGACATATCACAGTCTGTTTCTCCATTATTTTCTGTCTTGTACAATCATTTCGATATCATGGATGGAATCTAGTCCAGACCTTTGACCTTTCAACATTCACCTTGAGATTTCTCTTTGATGTTCTTGTGTTCTGTATCCATTTATTTCCCATTTCAGTGACTGAGATTCTGTGTGTGTGTGTCTTCTCAGGATGTGCTCAAAGTGGTTCTATCTTCTCTAACTTATAACTGTTAAACTAGTGGTTGTCCAGTCATCTTCTCTAACTTATAACTGTTGAACTAGTGGTTGTCCAGCCATCTTCTCTAACTTATAACTGTTGAACTAGTGGTTGTCCAGCCAACTTCTCTAACTTATAACTGTTGAACTAGTGGTTGTCCAGCCATCTTCTCTAACTTATAACTGTTGAACTAGTGGTTGTCCAGCCATCTTCTCTAACTTATAACTGTTGAAGAGTGGTTGTCCAGCCATCTTCTCTAACTTATAACTGTTGAAGTGGTTGTCCAGCCATCTTATCTAACTTATAACTGTTGAACTAGTGGTTGTCCAGCCATCTTCTCTAACTTATAACTGTTGAACTAGTGGTTGTCCAGCCATCTTCTCAGACTTACAACTGTTGAACTAGTGGTTGTCCAGCCATCTTCTCAGACTTATAACTGTTGAACTAGTGGTTGTCCAGCCATCTTCTCTAACATATAACTGTTGAACTAGTGGTTGTCCTGCCATCTTCTCTAACTTATAACTGTTGAACTAGTGGTTGTCCAGCCAACTTCTCTAACTTATAACTGTTGAAGTGGTTGTCCAGCCAACTTCTCTAACTTATAACTGTTGAACTAGTGGATGTCCAGCCAACTTCTCTAACTTATAACTGTAGAACTAGTGGTTGTCCAGCCAACTTCTCTAACATATAACTGTTGAACTAGTGGATGTCCAGCCAACTTCTCTAACTTATAACTGTTGAACTAGTGGTTGTCCAGCCAACTTCTCTAACTTACAACTGTTGAACTAGTGGTTGTCCAGCCAACTTCTCTAACTTATAACTGTTGAAGTGGTTGTCCAGCCAACTTCTCTAACTTATAACTGTTGAACTAGTGGATGTCCAGACATTTCTTTTATTTCTTCACTCCTTTTGAATGCATCCTTTTTTATTAAAAAAATTTTCCTCTGCCATCTATTTTCAAATGCATATAGTTTTCATCCCAAATCTTTAGTGGGTTTTACACAACTGCAAAAAATACAGCAAATAAACTGCACAACAGTAAAAAGAAAAAAAAATTACACAACAGAAAAACCTACCTACACAAATGCAAAGAAAAAAGATCACAACAGAAAAAAAAAAATTAACAACAAGCACACACACACACAAATTAAAAAAATTATGCAACAGCCAAAAAACTAAATAACAAAAAAATACAAATGTACACAACAGCAAAGAAAAAATATTCTGCGGCTGGTTTGCGACATTCTGAAAAGAATATGCAGGCATGCAAAGAAATGAGCAATCTGATAGGCTGGCAGATCAAGCTGCTGTGGAGGGTGGACAAGCCATGGACCAGGGTGATATTCCTAATTCTCTGTGAGAAATAAGATATTTGTTAGAATCGAGTGATGACTGTGAATCTACAACCATGACCAGACTCAAGAACAACATGTTGAAAGAGGTGTGGCCAGACAAGTGCACTTTGCACAAAGCCGAAAAAGAATAAGAAACCAACACAGAACTGTTATGGTCAGTCACTACACACTGCATTGCTTGGGGAGGGGGGGGAATCTGTGCAGTTATGGTCAGAACTGATGAGCGGTGAGGATATTTTGTCCACTAACTAACACAAGTTTATTTCTATTGCAGAATTGCTAATCTGTTTAGCCACAATGAGGCTGATGAAATAATGGACAGAAAAGACAAGTTCAAGAGGTAATGGCTGTTGTTGTTGTTCACATATTCATGTGTAGTTTGTCCTTGTCTTCTTTTTAGCATTCACCAGCTGTAAACTCTGGGGGAATGTTTTGGTTGTTTGTCCCTTTCTAGACTTTGGCCTTGTTGTAAACTTTGAACTTTGCATGCATATTTATTTTACAGATCTGGCTTATTTGTATGCAGACTGTTGGTTCCTCGCCTTCCCGGGCAGATCCACTTTGATTACAAAGAAAGAATCCGTAAACAATCATCTTTTATGACATGCTTGTTAGAGGCAGCGGTTTGGTTCTCTCTCCCCCCCCCCCCCCCCCCCTGCTTCCTTTCCCCCTCCAGAACTAACCTGGGAATACTTGGCAACGTGTATGTAGTTAATTTGTAGTAATAATTTATTCACTGATGTGTCTGGAGCAGAGGACACCCCTATCTTAACTGTCAATTGATATAGTAACTCTTTTAATACCAAACAGTTTCACAAGAAATTTTTTCAAGTGAAGAAAAAATTTGTGAATGCATTACTTTCATAGTCCTAATATATATGGAGGTTATGACTAGTGGGGAAGTCAGATTTCTTTAGTATGTCCTGATCAAATATGAAAAAACAATTGAATGTTGAATTAAGAATCAACATGTCAGCATTTGGGACATTCCCATAAATGCTCAATCCACATCTTCGGCAGCAAATGCAGAGTTCCTATTCCAGTGGCATCATTGTCAGTCTTATTGTATCTCCACCTGTATGAAAAAAGTAAGTAAGTTCATGCTAAGGGAGAACACGCTGACAGACTGGCTGGCTCTGCACAACTTGGTGGAATTCTGATACATGATAAGGCTGACGTGGTTAGTGCCTTGTGGGAGAGCGTGTACAGTTCGGAGGAGCAGATGGATCACCACAGTCTGGTGAGATTGATGCAGCGGGGAGTGACGAGAGGTTTTGGCAGATGCTTGAGGCTCAGAGGAAAGGCAAGACAGACGTTTAATCAGAATGCTACTGGCACAATTAGTATCGGAACTCTTCGCTGGCTGCTAAAGAGGGTGACAGAGCACTTATGGGAATGCCCCCGAATGCTGTGATGTCGGTTCTTGAATCAAATCAATCAATCAGTGCTAAGGGGGAGAAACCATGAAGCAGATTCATGAACTAATGCTGCATATCTGTGGACTGCAGGAGTTGATAAATGTATTTTTACTGTTTCTTATTTTAACTCTTTGAGTCCCAAGGAACGCATCATACGTTCATAGGTTCCCGCCTAGGGGCCCAATGAACGCAAGATGCGCGATTTTAATCTCTTTTGACTACCCCTTGGGCCTCTGATGCTAAACCCCCTGGGACTCAAAGAGTTAATATTCGAGGAGAGAAATGTAATGGAGGGTGTGGTTCTGAGAAGAAAAGGCAAAGGTAAGCCGGTACAACAGTGGACACAGAATATTAACTCTTTGTGTACCAGCCTATACGTTCTTTAACCTTGTCACCTGTAAAAATTTTAAGACATGACCTTTTACCAAAGTTTAAAAATATAAAATCCTTTCCATAATTTTACACCATGATGAAAATTGCATCAATGTGTTTGTAAAGGGAGCTTAAAATTCAAATTTATCAAAAATTTACTATGAGCACTACAGAGTTGTTTCCCTTAAAGTAATGTAGAGAAATGAATGGGCTAAACGCCTCAACCAGATTCATCAAAAAAATGCAAATTTAACATGACGCTCAGGGAGCAAAGTTTTACGATCGCAAGAGAGCCAGGCATAAACGTCGGTGCATCAAATAGTGTGCGATCATGATAATTAGTGGGTTAACCTTGTGAGGCCAAATGATGCTGTCAGACTGATTATAGCAACAATATTTTGCACCAAATTTGTTGATAAGCATAAGATCAAATGGTTTTAACATCTGTCTAGAGCTCAGTACAACAGCTACAAACACAGCTTAGTAAAGACAGGACTCTCTTTCTCACCTTCAGGCATATTGGGCACATAGAACTAGACCTATATTTGATAGACCACCTAGTACTTTGTGGGTAAAATGGTCAGCATTATGCCGGCTGCCTTTACTTCTCAGGAATTTACCTGCTACACATTTCAGGCTGGGTCGACCTGGAAGCCAAGGTCATTTTGTTAAAGTCCAGCTTCGTCAGAACCTGTACCCACAATCTTCCGATCCACAGGCATCTAGCCGGTATACGGTGGCAGACATATACAAGTACTAGACCTTAAATGATCTGATGTAAAAGCAAGAGGGCACCCAAGGAGAGATGGATGACATTAAAGACAGTGTACATACAGATGGAATGAAATGTCTATTGCCCCTATCGAGGGATGGACAGCAAACTGTTCATCCCCGTGGACCTATGCTGCAGAAGTGGAAGGTGATGAAAATGAGTGAGAACTCAAGAAAGGTTTTGTGAAACTCTTTACACTGCAAAGTCTTCCATGTCTCTGCCTCATTTGTGATAAAGAATTTTATTATCAGAATAGAAAACGCTTGCTTTTTGTTTAGTAAACCTTTCAGGAAGAAGAATGAGACTCTGGCCTCAGCCTAGAGTGGGTACAAGGAAATCTGCTGAAAAAAACAACTAATTGCATCTGTCAAATTACTGACCACATCAACCACTGGGTGTTGGTTGGTCTGTAAAATTGTAGAGCCAGCAACTTATGACCATTATATCTTAAGGCATGGGAGCTGGACCACAAATTACAATGTATTAATAAATAAATGCACTGTGTCTTGTGAATTCCCCAAGTGTGCCTGAGTCCCATTGTGGGAGAAACATGAATAGACCTACTGCCCTCCAACCCCCCCCCCCCCCCCCCCAACAAGCATGTTATAAAAGTCGACTAAATAGGGGCTTCTTCTTTCAAAGATGGAGTGTATCCGCCTGAGAGGCAAGGAACTAGTAATCTGCATACAAATAAGACAGATCTGTAAAACAGATGTGCATGCAACTCACACGTTCTGGAGCAAAACCAGAGTCCAGAAAAAAATTGAAAAAAATCGAACTATCTCTGGAGTTTACAGCCAGGGAATGCAAAGTAGAAGTAGATTCCTCAGTATCTTCCATGTCTCCTATGCCCTTGTTGTGATGAACGTTGACTGTCAGAATAGAAACTTCTTTGTGCACTTTCAGTAAACTTTTCTGTAAGAAGATTGAGAAGTTGTTTGAGCCCGATGCTGCCAGTGCTGACTCGCCAGGGAAAGCATCAACATTATTTAGGTATGCTTATCTTTTATATCTCACTTCTTTGTTTAACACCTGCTCACACCTTTGCCCTTTGTTATAGACAGGTTCACATCTTGGCCTTTTGTTATACACAAGTTCACATCTTAGCCCTTTTTTATACACAAGTTCACATCTTAGCCCTTTTTTATACACAAGTTCACATCTTGGCCCTTTGTATACACCAGTTCACATCTTAGCCCTTTTTTATACACAAGTTCACATCTTGGCCCTTTGTTATACACAAGTTCACATCTTAGCCCTTTTTTATACACAAGTTCACATCTTGGCCCTTTGTATACACCGGTTCACATCTTGGCCCTTTGTTGTACACAAGTTCACATCTTGGCCCTTTGTATACACCAGTTCACATCTTAGCCCTTTGTATACACCAATTCACATCTTGGCCCTTTGTATACACCAGTTCACATCTTGGCCCTTTGTATACACCAGTTCACATCTTGGCCCTTTGTATACACCAATTCACATCTTGGCCCTTTGTTATACACAAGTTCACATGTTAGCCCTTTGTTATACACAAGTTCACATCTTAGTTCTGTTTTGTCTACAAGATCACATGTTAGTTCTGATTTGAATACAAGTTCACATCTTAGTTCTGTCATTCATGTCTTAGTTCTGTGTTTTATACAAGTTCACACTTGAGTTCTGTGCTAAATGCATGTTCATATTTTAGTTCTGAAGTTTATGTCTTAGTTCTGTGTTGTACAGATATTCACATGTTAGTTTTTTGTTGTATAAAAGTTTACATCTTAGTTCTGTGTTGTATACAACTTATCTTAGTTCTGAAATTCATATATTAGTACTACATTGTATCCAAGTTCACATCTTAGTTCTATGTTGTATACAAGTCCACATCTTAGTTATGTGTTGTATACAAAGTTCACATCTTAGTTATGTATTGTATACAAGTTTACATCTTAGTTCTGTGTTGTATACAAATTTACATTTTAGTTCTTTGTTGTACACAAATTCACATTTTAGTTCCTTTGTTTTTTTTTTTTAAAGAATGTATAGCTCTGTGACTTTAAGGTGAGTGAACATGTTTCCCAGAAACTACATTATTATCGCCTGAGGAGAATGACGGACCTGGGTGTGACCAGAGGGTCTGGTTAGCTCACACTACTCAGAGGAAAGGCAAGACGGACATGTAACTAGACTACGACCGGTACCATTAGTATTTGAACCCTGCGCTGGCTGCTGGATTTGGGGTCGGAGCACATATGGGAATGCCCTGAGTGGTGTGACTCAACTCAACTTCCAGAAACAGCAGTAGGTACACATATTGACTGCCACCAACTCCCATTGCAGTTTTTACTTGTTTATAACAAGTTTTTTCAAGTTTTTACAAGTTTTTACAAGCCATTGCAAAACCCCATCATATTTTGGCTCTTTATGGTTTTACTCGGAAATTTTTACATTGAATAGTTTGCCATTGCTCTCTGAATAACTTCATTGCAGAGACAGCGCCAAAGTAAATTTAGGGATAATGCTCTTATTTTGGATATTTATTGCTTTGTTCACTGACAAGGCATAATCACTTGTGCATGTGTAAGTGGTTTAGACCAAATTTAGCTCTAGCAATTGATGATTGCACTGAATAGGGTATCACATATGTTCCTTCTTGTTGCTTGGCTGTGGAGAGTAGGTGTGCACAGACAGCATAGTAGTGTTAGTAACTGGTAGCTATCACATGCTGCACTCGCTGTATAAGTGGCTTGAGCATGCAGCAAGCATTCGTACTGCTATGTTAATTCTGTTCAGATTTTGTGCTGAGTAAGCCATAAACTTTGGAAGAGAACTAAACAGGCTCCAGTGGACCAAGAGGTGAGGAAAAGATGCTGATGATGAATAGGACACACACTGAGAAAACAGAAGAACAGCATAACTAGAATGTCTTTGCATTGGAACCCACAGGGGCATAGGAATAAAGGAAGGCTAAAAAACACATGGAGAAGAGAGCTGGAGAATGAAGTTAGAAAGAAGGGGAGTACATGGGGAGAGCTCCATGCAATGGCGAGGTATAGAACGACTTGGCGTGAGTTGGTTGAGGGCCTATGCTCCATTGGGGGATAGAAAGGATAGAAGAAGAAGAAGAAGACATAAACCATGCAGTAATAAATATTAAACAGTAGTAATAAATATTAAACAGTAGTAATAAGAATTAAACAGTAGTAATAAATATTTAACAGTAGTAATAAATATTAAACAGTAGTAAGAAATATTAAACAGTAGTAAAAAATATTAAACAGTGGTAATAAATATTAAACAGTTGTAATAAATATTAAACAGTAGTAATAAATATTAAACAGTAGTAAGAAATATTATACAGTAGTAAGAAATATTAAACAGTAGTAAGAAATATTAAACAGTAGTAAGAAATATTAAACACTAGTAATAAATATTAAACAGTAGTAAGAAATATTAAACAGTAGTAAGAAATATTAAGTAATGCATATTTGTTTTACAGTCTAGGGATAAGTTTGTATTGTAGCCGTAACATTCATGCCTCGCCACTGGCTTGGTTCCACCATCACTTAGTGCAACAATACATCTCTTGCTTCTTATTCCATTATCCAGATGTAGTATCTGCAGCAGACACCTCACCCAAGATCTCCAAACTAGAGTCAAATGTATGCCCAGTAGGTGAGTGACAACTTCTTTTTCTTGTAGTCTGTGATGTGTGGCATTGGTAGTCATTTCTGTCCACAACCTTCTTTCTTGTGTACTGTCAATCAACTCTGACACAGATAATCCTCCATACCATGATGGCAAACTGTCCAGCATCTTTTCTCTTGGTCTCCCTCTGCCTCTTCTCCCCTTCAACTTTCCTACTGTCATGATGTACTTCAGTTTTCCCCTACTCATCACATTACCAAAGAATCCAGATTGTCTTTTTTCTCTTCTTAAGTCAGTTTATTTAAAGACATCCTCCTTACTCTTTTTTATCTGTTCAGGGTATTCTCATCATTCGTCTATAAAAACCACATCTCCACAGCTTCTAAAAAATGTTCACCAATCTACCAATTGTCCATGGGAGTTGCTGTGGTGTTGGCGACTAGATGCCCGCCTGCAGATCGGAAGGTTGTGAGTTCGAGTCTTGACGGAGCCAGAATTTTTCAAAAATGACATTAACTCCAAGGTTGACTCAGCCTTGAGTGGGTACCAGGTGTAGTCCTGGGAAGTAAAGATGGCCGGCATGGTGCTAATCACATCACCCATCTTGTGCCAATTGGTCTATAAAAATATAGGTCTAGCCCTATATGCCCTATATGCCTAAAGATGTAGAAAAGGGACCTTTTTTTTTTTTCGTGCAAGCAGGACAAGAATGATTTAGGTATTTAGATAGATTCCTGGGGGGGGGGGGGGGGGGGGGGGGAGGGAATCCCGTAGTGGAAGGGGACAATAAGGAAAGGATGTAAACAAAAAAAGAAAAAAAAATGATTTCAGAAAGGTTGAGAGTTGAGCAACTGAGAAAAAGCACACTAAACAGATGTGATGACAACCACAGCATTGACATCCCATGCTCTAATTGTGAAGACTTTGCTTAACAAAGTCAGACCTTTCTAGTCATAATCAGCCTTGCCATGGGCTATGGTTGAACAAGTCCCTGAGAGCTTGAGATCTGACAACATCACGCCTGGCCATGGGCTATGGTTGAACAAGTCCCTGAGAGCTTGAGATCTGACAACATCACGCCTGGCCATGGGCTATGGTTGAACAAGTCCCTGAGAGCTTGAGATCTGACAACATCACGCCTGGCCATGGGCTATGATTGAACAAGTCCCTGAGAGCTTGAGATCTGACAACATCACGCCTGGCCATGGGCTATGGTTGAACAAGTCCCTGAGAGCTTGAGATCTGACAACATCACCCCACAGAAAGCAGCCAAGCATGCCCTGGCTCAGCTTCCTATCATCCACTGTGACATCTGTCAGTAAAAAAGGCAGATATTGACAAAAACTGGACTCATCCTCGGACTGAAAGTGTTGAATAAAAAATTAATTAAATTGTAGAAGTAAACAGCTCCTTTCCTGCCACTGTTGCATCAGATACATGGGGCTAAACACATAGTTATGTAGAAAGATTAATTCCAAATACGTGAGGCTTTCCATGTATTAATATCTGTTGTTTCCATTAAATTTTAGATATTCTTTCTTCCAGTTTTATATTATTTATAGGAAAAAGCTGCATAGCTATTGAAAGGAAAAAATGTTTATCATAATTTGACATTCAATAAGATTCCAATAGACGACATCTTTCCAAGTATTTTTTACATAAGATTTTGGATATTCTTTCTTCTAATTTTTTACTGATTTCGACAGTGGTATAAAGAAAGCCGACTGTTCAGAAATGGCAAACTACTGGACGTAAATTTGCCTAGGAAAAACACACAACAGCCAGGGGCTGTTAGGGTTGGTTCTGCAATGTCCTGTAAAGGATACGTAAATAACCTATATTTATATATAAAGAGCTGTGTCCAGTAGATGATGTCTTTTCAAGTATTAATATTTTTTGTGTACCTAAGATTTTGGACATTCTAACTTCCATTTTTGTCGTATTAAAAAAAAAAAAAAACATGGAGCTACTGAAAGGAACATAATTTTATCATAATTTTGTAATTTAATGAGTGAAATTGTTAAAATTGCACACAAAAATAACTTAGGATTTAACCAATCAGTTGACAGTTCTTTTGCATCTGGGTCTTTAATAGTTTTTAAGTGTACAGCCTTCCTCATCAGTTAATAAAAATGTGACTGTGAATTTATGTGTTTGCATCTGCGGGTGTGTTTATGTGTGTGTGAGAGAGAGAGAGAGAGAAAGAGAGAGAGAGAGAGAGAGAGAGAGAGAGAGAGAGAGAGAGAGAGAGAGAGAGAGAGAGAGAGAGAGAGAGAGAGAGAGAGAGAGAGAGAGAGAGAGAGAGAGAGAACAGTATACTTGAAGAATAAAGATTTATGCTTTTTTAATATATTGGTATATTGATTTATTTATTGTTTCCTCTAGAATGACCTTTGACCACAGTGGCTCGATGATCTACTGCCATGTGCCAGATCCAAGTTTTGAAATTAACGAATACGTCCTGGAACTGAAGAGCCAGCTGAAGACTTGGAGGGATGTCTACTGGCGCCTCTGGGGCACCGTTAATTACCTCACCTGTGAGAGATGTGCAGAATGTTTTCCACTGACTGAATTTCGTCACTGCGGGTTGGTTGTTTGTTTGTTGTTGGTTGGCTGTCATTGGTTAGTTATGATTGGTTGAGGATTGGTTAGTTGTCATAGGTCAGTTGCCATTGCTTTAAATTTGTTGGTAGATTAGCTGTGATTGGTTGATTATGATTGGTGTTTTGGTTGGTTGGCGGTCATTGTTTGATTATGACTGGTTGGTTGTGTTGTGAATCTAGGGAAGGCTGTGTTTCAGCTCTAAGTTTAATGCATTGGTGATTAATTCACTTCAGCTTTGAAAAGTGTTAGACTTAATATTTGAACAAATCAATCTGCTCTCGGTGGATGATGTAGTCTTTGATGTAGTTGGTGATGTAGCCTTTACCTTCCAAGATACTTTTTTTTATTGGTACCAAATCTAGGTTGAGTTGAGCTGTTAGCAATAGTACCATAGAGCAGGGTATTTACTTATCCTAGTAGACTGCTGAAGGTTGATGTCATCAGCCTTGTGGAGGTGGTCATTGTGGCGTGGAATTCACTTTGTTTTAGCGAAGGCACTATGTTTAGTCTATAAGAGATAAGAGAACATAATTCTTCCTCTGTTCTGGGCAAGACAGATAATGATGGGCATGGAAAATACTGCTGTACTGAGGAAAGCTTCCCTGCCACTACCCAAGAGGCTAGTTAAAATTCCAAGTAAGAAAACAGATGTCACAAGCAGATGGTATACAGAGGAATCACAAACAGTGAAACATCCCAAAAAATTTCATCTCCCAGCCTAGCTGGTTTAAGGAGAGGATTCGGGTTTGTCCACATCTGATTCCCTTCTGTTCCATATATAGTATATTTATATGTGTTTATTTATATGCTAGCTATTGTTCGCTGACTTGCACAGTCAAATTTAACTTCACAAGACTGGAAGAACAATTAATAAATATAGTGTACTGAAATCATTGGATAATTAAATTATGTGAGTGGGAGATGAAGTTGGTTCTGTATTGACCGATGTGTCCATTTATCTGACGTTCATGCTCCTTGGGTCAGTTTCTGGCTTAGCCTCGAAGACACTTCTGGGCAGGTCGAATCTCCTTGTCCAGTCTAGACAGTTTAACACCTGCAGCTACACCTGGAGCTTCACTCCACCTGAAACTTCACTCCACCTGGAACTTCATTCCACCTGGAACTTCACTTTACCTGGAACTTCACTCTACCTGGAACTTCATGCCACCTGCAACTTCACTTCACCTGGAACTCCACTCTACCTAGAACTTCATGCCACCTGAAACTTCACTCCCTTTGGAACTTCACTCCAACTGGAACTTTACAGGGTAACTTAACTCCACCTGGAACTTCACTCAACCTGGAACTTTATTCCAACTGGAACTTCACTTTACCTGGAACTCCACTCTACCTGGAACTTCATGCCACCTGAAACTTCACTCCCTCTGGAACTTCACTCCAACTGGAACTTTACTGGGTAACTACTTCACCTGGAACTTCACTCTACCTGGAACTTCACTTCACCTGGAACTTCACTTCACCTGGAACTTCACTTCCCCTGGAACTCCACTCCACCCAGAACTTCACTCCACCTGGAACTCCACTCCACCTGGAACTTCACTTCACCTAGAACTTTACTCAACCTGGAACTTCACTTAACTTGAAACTTCATTCCACTTGAAACTTCATTCCACTTGAAACTTCATTCCACTTGGAACTTTGCTCCACCTGGAACTTCACTCCACCTGGAACTTTACTCCACCTGGAACTTTATGTCACCTGGAACTTCACGCTACCTGGAACTTCACTTTCCCTGAAACTCAACATGGATCACTTCACCTGGGACCCTGGTAGAGATCTAACACACTACTCTGACCTCAGCCATGACCACCAACTGGGGTATGCTGAGTCAGTTTAGGAGGAAAGGCAAAAACCTTCTTCTTTCTCAAATGTGTCATGTTGAATCGCTGATCAGAAGTCTCTGAAAGGGGAAATAACTCTGTTCACTCAACTTTCACTTAGGTTTTTGTTCACCATTTTTATTAAGAAACTTGGTTAGTTTCACGAAAGTTCCCCCCACCCTCCCCCCATCCTAGAGACCGCCCATATACACACTAGCTCACTTCTGATTGGTCAACCTTGAGTCACCTGACCTTTGCACACTGCTACGGGGGTGTTCAGCAATGCCGTTGATATTGCGTGTTGTGTATTTAAGCATGCCAGCTCTTTAAACACTACAGAAACAGAAACTGGGTCTAACACACAACTTCCCTAGAGAGTGCTGCAACCTATATCACAGGCATTCTCTTTCTCAGAAGAAAAACATAAATGCAAAACAAACCAGAAAGCAAACAACATAGCGGTACACCCATAAATTCTCCCCCCCCCCCAATTCCCGGTCAGCATACCAGTCCAAAAAAAGTTATCAGTGGAACGTGACCTAGTTTGTTTAGGGACACGAACGTGGAACTAAATAGACATTTATAATAATGCTGCTATAAATAATCAGATAATAGGAAAGACATTAGTCCAGACCATCTAGTGGCAGTTATTGCCAGCCCCATTTTTGTTTTCCTAGGGAAAAAAGTCTTGTATGAAGGTATTGTTCTTAAGGTTCTTGTGTCTGTGTTCAAACAGTTACCACCCAGAGCCGCCTCAGTACGAGCAGGAATCCTGCACCACCAGTTCAAGTGTTGGCTTCCACCCATGTTGCCAACAGAAAGTTGTCAGGTTTGACATCACACTAACCAACAAGGTCAGTTGTAAGACAATCAATCAATCAGGTGCCATCTCCACAATAAAGGTTGACTGTAATGGAACTCCAACAATCTCTGTCTCATGACTTGGTTGTACACTCTCTCAAACCGCTGTCTACCTCTTGTTCTCTTGCAGTCAGCTTTTCCCTCCAATTATGCTTTTAAAAAAGAAATGTTATATCTTTTAAAAGCCAAAGTATTTCATACAAGGCTTTTCATTTGCAGTCTTTCCAGAACCTCTATTTAAATGTTTTTGTATCCTAGTCCTCCTTTTTCTTCTTTTGACCATTAAAGGTGGCACTTTGTGTTGGGGTTTACAGCTAAGCTGTGATATCTGCATCTTGTGGCCTGCTAACACATCCAGTTTCACAAAGCCTTAAATAGTCTCCTTTTATGACATGACAGTGGGTGTTCCCATCCCCCACCCCATCAAAATGAGAGTCTATGAACCACTAAGGGATGTTTCCGAGTCATTTTTGAACATTATCTTTAGTGCTTCAGTGTGTTTGAGACATTGTTGAACCTTATCTTTGGTGCTTTAAATGTATTTGAGTCATTTTTTAACCTTATCTTTAGTGCATAATTATGTTAGAGTCATTGTTGAACCTTACCTTTGGTGCTTAAAATGTGTTTGAGTAATTGCTGAACCTTATCTTGGTGCTTCAAATGTGTTAAGTCATTGCTGAACCTTATCTTTGGTGCTTCAGATATGTTCAAGTCATTGCTGAACCTTATCTTTGGTGTTTCAAATGTGTTCAAGTCATTGCTGAACCTCATGTTTGGTACTTAAAGTTTGTTTATGTCTGTTTTGAATGTTTGGTATCACAGATGTGTTTAAGTAAAGTAGTAACTATTCTGGGTTTTAATAAGGCACTCAAATATTTATTTATGTTCATACTCAGGGTTGTCAAATCAAGGATCATCTGATCAAACTGCCAATTCCTGAGGATGAGGACAAGTCCATGAAGACACCAGTCCAGCAAATGTATGATGATCTGCTTGCCCACTTGGACATTATCTGTGTACCCTATCAGTGTCCAGCTGAGGGGAGGTAAGTGTAGCCAGCAAGTTGCTGATTTCTTCAGGTACAACCCTGTGGTTTTCCATGACTTTTGCTTCTTTGTTTCCTCTTTTAGCACTTTAGGTGTCAAGGGAGTTAGAAGATTCGGTGCTTTATTAATATCTTATCCCAAACAGGGGAAATCCACAGGTCACAGGACAGTCTAATATTTCAGGGGGTGGTAGATAGGCTGCATGCAGTCATGGGACCTAGGCTGCACTCTCTCGTGGGACGTAGTTGGGTTGGTGTTAGGGCCAGTTCTAGATGTTTTGGGGTTGCTAAAAGCATCAGAAAGCCCGGAAACCCAGTCAGTCCACCTTCTAAAATGTTGGACTGTCCTGTGACTTCTGGGGTAGGATGTTAATAAAGCATCAAAGATTCTGCTTCTTGCTCTTCTTCCTGCCTCGACCATGGATATATTGTCCCCCAATGTTGCCATGGTCGAATACTGTATAATTTATTTGTTAATATCTTGTATATTTTTTGTAGCAATTAAAAATCCATTGCCGGCATGCATGGCCTGTCACATCTTCACCAAAACCCTAGTCATACACATGCATAGTCGTAGACACACACATTCTGAGTCACACACATAGTGGTGAATTAAAACACATATCTTACACACTGAAGCATAGTCGTAGAAACACATACTTACATGCACACACACGCAGTCATTTGAGAAAGGAGGTGGAGACATTAACTACAGTTTTTCACTGGCTTAAAAATCAGTGGTACAGACATCATAAGTGAAATTGACTTCCAGAGCATGTTGAGAAAGGGGTTGGCAGGTATGCTGCATGCAGAGTGGCAAGCATTGCTTCAGAGGTCCCATGTAGTTGACTTCCTTTGGATATTTTCTTTGGGTATGCCAGTGTTTAGGATAGTGAACAGGCAGATAGACTGGCTGGTTCTGCATGACAAGCTCAGTTTTGTAAGGGCTATTTGGGAGTGAGTGAACACACAAAATAAAAATTGTCATCATCTGAGGAGAATGGTGCTGCGAAGAGTGACAAGATCTGGCCAACACTCAACAAAAAAAGTGGGACGGATATCTTGATAATCTTAGTTTAAGCTTCATATTAAACGGGTCACCCCATAGTTGCTCCCCTCAGGTGCCAACAAAAAAACACACAAATGTTTATTACAGTCCCTTGTGGAAAGATTGACGGATTGCTGTCTGATCATATGCACTAGCATACACGCGCATTAAATATGGTAGCCATCCGAAGTGCTAACACAAACAGTCCGACATTAGAAAGTACAGTTCATCAACAACAGTAGCAGAAGTCACCACCAGATCACACGCGATCAATTTCAGTCACATAAGGGTACCGCCAATATTGCGACAACAGGCATTGCGCAATTTTCTGAATCTACAATTCACACCACCACCTTGGTCACAGTCAAAAAACATCCCAAATAAAATCCACAACTTATAGTGTCACGCCATGCACTCAGCTCAGAAGCTGGGCGACGAAACTATATATCCTTTCAGTCTACAAATGGAGTAAAAATGCAACGGCCACAGTCTGGCAGAAGTGAAAAATTTGCCACAACTCAAAATATTGACCGTGGCTAGAATCCATTTTGACCAGAAGTGGGGACCAATATACGATCAGTGATACTAGGACCATAGGAATCATAATTCTGTGCTTGCTGTTAAAAATGGGAATTTCTCGAGTGCTGTGATGTCGATTCTTAATTCAGCATTCAGCAGAGTCATTCACACACATACACAGACAGTAGGGTCCCGTATTTGTTACTGACACATGCTTGGATTCAGTCTAATGCAGGTTGATGTGTTTGCCAACGAAGCTCTGGCCTGCCACTCCAGCATCCATCTGGCAAGTCTGAGCACAGCTGGCAATGAAGGCAAACAGGCAGTAGGTTTAGACTGTAGTATGTTAGCTAATGTTTGTTAACTAGTGTTTCCTCTTCTCCTTTTTCATGTTCACTGCCTGTAAACTCTGACGGAAAGTTCTGGCTGTTTGTCTACTTCTGGATTTAGTCTTGTTCCAGAACATGAATTTTGCATGCACATTTATTTTATAAGGGGGCTACATGGTCTCGAGGCATGGTGTCCCCCTCAAATGCTAGAGGTCCCGAGGTCAAGTGTCGGTGGGGCTGGGATTTTTTCACGTGGACTTCTAGTAATTTCCCCCTGGTCTCTTGATAGTGCGATCGGACGCCCGTGTGTATTGTTGCGCATGTATAAAATACCTTGGCAGTAGGAGATAGGAAAAGAGTGGCCTAACGGCGCTGCCCGGGCACAATTTGGAGTTTAAAATCTACTCAAAGTATTTCAGGATCCTCGCCGGTGCAACAGAGTTTGTGCACTGTGCTGTGATTCTTCAGACTCAGGCTTGAGTTAAAAGAAGAACAGATCACTTATGCGTTACACCTTTGTGCTATGATACAGATCAGTTGAATAAACATAAACATTCATTTTATAAGTCTGGCTTATTTGTATGCAGATGCAGTCTGACTTTGAAGGAAACTCCTAATTAGTCGACTCTTGCAGATTGCTTGACTTTGAGTTTTGTTCTTTTTTCTTTGCTACAATAGGACTCCTGAATATTGGGAGCTAATGTTTTTTGTAATGTTTGTATGTTAACTAAAAGTTTCTAGTGTTTCTGTGTTAGCTTTTTTTTTCTTCTGTAATCCTAGAAACATCTACATCTCCTGCGTGTTTATTGTAGTAACATCTACATCTCCTGTGTGTTTGTTGTAGTAGCATCTACATCTCCTGTGTGTTTATTTTAGTAACATTTACATCTCCTGAATGTTTGTTGTAGTTGCATCTACATCTCCTGTGTGTGTATTGTAGTAACATCTACATCTCCTGTGTGTGTATTGTAGTAACATCTACATCTCCTGAATGTTTGTTGTAGTAGCATCTACATCTCCTGTGTGTTTATTGTAGTAACATCTACATCTCCTGAATGTTTGTTGTAGTGGCATCTACATCTCCTGTGTGTTTATTGTAGTAACATCTACATCTCCTGAATGTTTGTTGTAGTGGCATCTACATCTCCTGTGTGTGTATTGTAGTGACATCTACATCTCCTGTGTGTGTATTTTAGTAACATCTACATCTCCTGAATGTTTCTTGTAGTAGCATCTACATCTCCTGTGTGTATATTGTAGTAACATCTACATCTCCTGAATGTTTGTTGTAGTAGCATCTACATCTCCTATGTGCTTGTTGTAGTAACATATACATCTCCTTTGTGTCTGTTGTAGTAACATCTGCATCTTATGTGTGCTTGTTGTAGTAGCATCTGCATCTCCTATATGCTTGTTGAAGTAACTACATATCCTATGTGTTTGTTAAAGTATTTTCTACACCTCTTGTATGTTTGTTGTAGTAAAATATTAATTTCATGTGTGCATGTTGTAGTAACATCAACATATCCTATGTGTTTGTTAAAGTATTGTCTACACCTTTTATGTGTTTCTTGCAGTAACATCTACATCTCCTGTGTTTGTTTTTTTTTTTTTTTTTTTTTTTTTTTGTAGTAACAGATGGAAAGGATATCAGACTTATTAGAAACTTATACTGGGAGCAAGAAGCAACAGTAAGATATGACAACATCTGCTCACCCCAGATAGAGATCAAGAGAGGAGTAAGACAAGGATGTGTGCTGTCGCCTAGCCTTTTCAACTTATGTACAGAAACCATTTTTAAAGTAATTGTAGAATTGCCAGGACTGCACATCAATGGTAGAATAATAAAGAATTTGAGATATGCTGACGACACAGTGTTGCTAGCAGAGAGTGAGCAGGAGTTGCAAGACGTAGTGGAGCAAGTAAACAGAAGGAGTGCAGAATTTGGATTAGATATAAATTTGAAAAAGACAAAAACCATGATATTTAGCAAAGAAAATAATCAGCTCACAATGAATATCACAGTAAACGGGGTGAAATTGGAACAAGTTAAAAATTTCTTGTATCTTGGACAAGTAATAACATGTGACGGCAGAAGTGAAACAGAAGTCAAGAAAAGAATAGGGATGGCCAAAAACATTTTCAACAACATGCAAAAGTTGCTGACATCAAGAGAAATAAGCAATACATTAAAAATGAGAATTGTCAAATGTTATGTATTCTCAACCTTACTGTATGGCACAGAGACATGGACAATGAACAAACAACTGGAAAATCGTATCAATTCTTTGGAGATGTGGATATACAGAAGATTAGGTCGTATTTCATGGAAACAAAAGCTATCAAATACAGAGGTACTGTGGAAATTGGGAATGAAAAGAAAGTTGCTAGGTGAAATAAAAAAGAGACAAGTGAAATATTTTGGCCACATTAAAAGACATAACAGTATTGTAAAGATCATCCTAGAGGGAAAGGTTCAAGGTAGGCGAGCAAGAGGCAGACAGCGTTACAAGTGGGAGGATAACATCAAGAGATGGACGAACAGCAGTATGAGTGAGTGTACATCAAGGGCAAGAGACAGGGCTTGTTGGAGATCCATTGCAGCCAACCTTCATTGTGGAGACGGCACCTGATTGATTGATTGAACATCTACATCTCCTGTGCTTGTTGTAGTAACATCTACATCTCCTGTGCTTGTTGTAGTAACATCTAGATCTCCTGTGAATGTTGTAGTAATATCTACATCTCCTGTGTTTGTTGTAGTAACATCTACATCTCCTGTGCTTGTTGTAGTAACATCTACATCTCCTGTGTTTGTTGTAGTAACACCTACATCTCCTGTGTGTTTTTGTTGATGAAGCGTCTACATCTCCCTGTTTATTGTAAAAACATTTACACCCATTATTCACTTGGGAAGTGGCTGGCGGAAAAATGACAATTCCAGCCTGTCATGCGAGAGGTCTAGGTTCGCCTCCCAGTAAGGTGATGGAGTTGTTCTGTCCAGGGCAGAAATGAACATCCCTTACCTGCCCAGTCTGTGATGACAGCACTAGCCACATGGCCTTAAAGCCTTAGTTAGCCTCACCAACACCCCCTTCCACCCCCCCCCCCCCCCCCCCCCCCCCCAAAAAATTGCTGACATAGATGCCTCATTTCAGGCGAATGAAAAAAGAAGAAGAAGAAGAAGAAGACAGTATAGTGAAAGTATTTGCTTATGTTAGAAACATCTAGATCTTTTGCGCGTTTGTTGTATAGAACAAGCCACGACTGCAAGCACTGACAGTAGAGAAAGAAGTCTCCTACTATGTAAGTGATCTGGGCACGGAGAGTGACGATGAAGTTGGAGATGAGGAGTCCCAGAGCACCTCTGGAGGTAGGTGGAATTGACCTAAACATGCCCTCGTATATTTCTGATGGTCGCATTTTGCTCTTACTTATCCTGCTACATAATTGATAGAATATAAATTGTTCTCTTTTATGTTCTAATTCATTTCTGACAAATCGCTGTCCTTATGTATTTTTCCCCCTTCTTTGCACTGTGTATGCCCATGTTGACCCTGATCCGCGCTTCACGGATCCATCTGTGTAGATGATGATATCTTCTGGGTCAGAATGCTGATCTATCAGTGCCCTTACTTCTGTGTCTACGGCCCATGGGAATCTGATCCCTGCAGTACCTTCCGAGTGTGATGACAACCTTAAAGATTGTGTTCTTTTCTCGATTGATTGTCACCTTTCTGTCTTTCCAAATGATAGTGTTATATTGCGCTATGAGGAGGCATGAGACTCACAGCCCATGGCGATGGCAAATGTGACCAGCAAGACCCGCCCGTGTCAAGAAAAGTCTTCCACAATGATAGCATGGGATTTCAGGACCATTGTTAACAACATTTGCGTTTAATCCGTTTCTTTTCAGATGCTCAGCTCTCATCCTTTCTGTAATCATTTCTTCCTTCAGTCTCATTCCCTTCCTGATATGCCCTTTCCACACAACAAGGTCCATGACATTTTGTTCGCATGAGTCCACCTCAATACCTGTATCATTCATGTCCCGCTTGCACACATCTTTATACCATAGTAGAGGTCAGCCTTGCATCTTCTTCCTGCCTGTAATTCACCATAAAGAATGTCCTTAGGGACTCCCGAAAACACAATTTACATGACATTGTCCTCAACAATGTTACAACCCTTCCGAATTCCCACAAATCAGCACGCAATAGTTGACCACATCACGCATGAATTGCCGATTGGTCTTTAAAATACAGGTATTGCCCTATGTGCCCAGTACACCTGAAGGTGTGGAAAAGGGTCCTTTACTTGTGTTTTACTTTTTACTTCTATCAGCTTCTGGTGGCAAGAAACTCAGCAGAAATCTCAAGAAGTCCAGAGTGACAGTTGAATCCCAAGCAATCCTGGTTGATGCTCCAGATTTTGAGTAAGTATAAAATTCAGAGTTGATGTCTACGGCCTAGGGGTTGTAAATGCACATTAACCCACAACAAATTTTCTCATCAAGACACACTTCGTCACCTCTCTAGTGAGGTGCAGTGCATTCTATTCAGACTTAGGACAGCGCAGAACAGACTTCACCAGTATGTGTTGACATTTTTTGGTGTAGGAAACACGGAGATATGTACATCCAGCTTTGGCACCAGAAAATGCTAAGCATGTGCTTCAGCACTGTCAGATGTATGCTGCTAACAGAGGGCAAATCTGGCGTGTTGAAACCTCAACAAAGACAAAGCTGTATGGTACAAGGGAGATATGGACTGCATGATAGCTTTTATAAAAAAATATTTTCCTACTGAGTCATCGAAGAAAGAAAGACTATCCTGACATACTTCTGCTGTAGATAAACAAGATGGTGGGACACTTTTTCGTCTGTTAGGATAAAAGGTGTTTTTTTTTGTCAGACATATGTATGTTTAAAGTGAGATTCAAACTGGAACAGGATTTTAAAATATGAGACGGGTTACATACATGAGTGTCTGATCACCTGTTGGCATTTTATCTACATCCTGTGGTGACACTTAACAGCTAGGCAACAGAAAAGTCTTGTCCATTTGCATAGGGGTGGTACTATTATAAACCACAGTAAGCTGATATATATATACTTGTTACAATTTTCACCCCAGAAAGAGACTGCTCTTCCTATTCATGCCTCGTCATGTCGCAGGGCCTGTCCATCCTATGTTGCAGGGGTGTCACGCTTAGTGAGCGGCCAGCAACACGTCATATTTTACTTGTCAGCAGGCAGCAATATCACATGTTTTATATTCCATGATGTGAGCGCTTTTAATAGCCCCTGAAGCATCTAGAACTGGCCCTAGCCTTCACCCCACAGCCTCAGCGAGAGCCCCACGAGAGAGTGCAGCCTATGTCCAACAGCTGCATGCAGCCTATAATATACGCTGCATACAGTCGTGTGACCTAGGCTGCATACAGTCGTGTGACCTAGGCTGCATACAGTCATGTGACCTAGGCTGCATACAGTCGTGTGACCTAGGCTGCATACAGTCATGTGACCTAGGCTGCATACAGTCAAGCAACTTAGGCTGCATACAGTCATGCGACCTAAGCTGCAACCTAAGCTGCACACAGTTGTGCGACTTAGGCTGCATACAGTTGTGCGACTTATGCTGCATACAGTTGTGTGACTTATGCTGCATACAGTTGTGCGACTTATGCTGCATACAGTTGTGTGACCTAGGCTGCATACAGTTGTGTGACCTAGGCTGCATACAGTTGTGTGACCTAGGCTGCATACAGTTGTGCGACTTAGGCTGCATACAGTTGTGTGACTTATGCTGCATACAGTTGTGCGACTTATGCTGCATACAGTTGTGTGACCTAGGCTGCATACAGTTGTGTGACCTAGGCTGCATACAGTTGTGTGACCTAGGCTGCATACAGTCGTGCGACTTAGGCTGCATACAGTAATGTGACCTAGGCTGCATACGGTCATGCGACTTAGGCTGCATACAGTAGTGCGACCTAGGCTGCATACAGTAGTGCGACCTAGGCTGCACACAGTCGTGTGGCTTAGGCTGCACACAGTCTTGGGACCTAGGCTGCATACAGTCGTGCGACCTAGGCTGCATACAGTCTTGGGACCTAGGCTGCATACAGTCGTGCGACCTAGGCTGCATACAGTCGTGCGACCTAGGCTGCATACAGTCTTGGGACCTAGGCTGCATACAGTCGTGCGACCTAGGCTGCATACAGTCTTGGGACCTAGGCTGCATACAGTCATGCGACCTAGGCTGCATACAGTCTTGGGACCTAGGCTGCATACAGTCTTGGGACCTAGGCTGCACACAGTTGTGCGACCTAGGCTGCATACAGTCATGCGACCTAGGCTGCATACAGTCTTGGGACCTAGGCTGCATACAGTCTTGGGACCTAGGCTGCACACAGTTGTGCGACCTAGGCTGCACACAGTTGTGCGACCTAGGCTGCACACAGTTGTGCGACTTAGGCTGCATACAGTCGTGCGACCTAGGCTGCACACAGTTGTGCGACCTAGGCTGCACACAGTTGTGCGACTTAGGCTGCATACAGTTGTGCGACTTAGGCTGCATACAGTCGTGCGACCTAGGCTGCACACAGTCGTGTGGCTTAGGCTGCACACAGTCTTGGGACCTAGGCTGCATACAGTCGTGCGACCTAGGCTGCATACAGTCTTGGGACCTAGGCTGCATACAGTCGTGCGACCTAGGCTGCATACAGTCGTGCGACCTAGGCTGCATACAGTCTTGGGACCTAGGCTGCATACAGTCGTGCGACCTAGGCTGCATACAGTCTTGGGACCTAGGCTGCATACAGTCATGCGACCTAAGCTGCATACAGTCATGCGACCTAGGCTGCATACAGTCATGCGACCTAGGCTGCATACAGTCTTGCGACTTAGGCTGAGGCTGTGGGGTAGGAAGGTTGTGGTTTTCAGGCTGTTAAAAGAGCTCACATTGTGGAATATAGAACACGCAATATCGCCGGCCACTGACAACGAGTAAAATACATCTGGTATAAATCCTAAGAAAAAAAGTATTTATTTGTGCGCTTAAAGGTTTATTGGCATGTTGTGCTGTGGTTTACATTAGGCTGCAATATCTGCTTTTTGGTTTGCCATATCCAATTTCAGCAAACTTCTGATTAGTCATTTTTTACAGCATGCTTGTTAATGAGCAGTGGGTCTAGTCTTTCTTTCCCTAATGGGCCCTGGAACCTGAGCAGGAAAAAAAAAGGATGTTTGACCCTCCCCCCCCCTCCCCCCAATCCCCAGAAAACTAGAATTGTTACACTCCTAATGACTTAATGACTACACAAAGAGAAGTAGACTTCCTAGATAGGAATTTAATCTGTTCCCTGACAAAGCTTAAAAAATTGTTATTTGTTCCGGTCCTCCAAACATCACCCTATCAGTTTCAACATCACCCTATTAGTTTCAACATCACCCTATTAGTTACAACATCACCCTATTAGTTTCAACATCACCCTATTATTAGTTTCAACATCACTCTATTAGTTTCAACATCACCCTATTAGTTTCAACATCATCCTATTAGTTTCAACATCACCCTATCAGTTTCAACATCACCCTATTAGTTTCAACATCACCCTATTAGTTTCAACATCACCCTATCAGTTTCAACATCACCGTATTAGTTTCAACATCACTCTATTAGTTTCAACATCACCCTATTAGTTTCAACATCACCCTATTATTAGTTTCAACATCACCCTATTAGTTTCAACATCACCCTATTAGTTTCAACATCAGCCTATTAGTTTCAACATCACTCTATTAGTTTCAACATCACCCTATTAGTTTCAACATCACCCTATTAGTTTCAACATCACCCTATTATTAGTTTCAACATCACCCTATTAGTTTCAACATCACCCTATTAGTTTCAACATCACCCTATTAGTTTCAACATCACTCTATTAGTTTCAACATCACCCTATTAGTTTCAACATCACTCTATTAGTTTCAACATCACCCTATTAGTTTCAACATCACCCTATTATTAGTTTCAACATCACCCTATTAGTTTCAACATCACCCTATTAGTTTCAACATCACCCTATTATTAGTTTCAACATCACCCTATTAGTTTCAACATGACCTTCTTTGTTTGTTTCATTAACAGCTTCTCACGCACGAAAAACCCCCTCCCAACCTACTCCACTCCTGACCACCAGTCCTGCAAAAGGAGGCCACATGAATAACTAATAAATATAGGAAGAGAAACGATGATACCAAATGAAACAAATAATTAAATAGAGGAACAAAAATAGTAATAATATAATAGTAGTTGGTGATGGTAAGAATAATTGAAATAATGATAGTAGTAGTAGTAATAGAAATATCATGAGAGCTAATAGACTGAAATGGGTGGGGCATATTGAGAAAATGTCAGATGACAGAGAGGTAAAAACTGTATACACGAGGGAGATGAATGGTGGTAGACCATGAGGCAGACCAAGAAGACCATGGAGAGATAATGTCCAGACAGACCTGCAAACACTTGGTGTTACCAACTGGCCAACCAGAGAGATGAATGGAGGCAGATGATATCTGCAGCATTGAACTTGAAAGGCTTGGAATGCTGAAAAAGAAAAAGTAGTAAAAGTAAATCATATTAAGATAACACCCGTGGTGATAATAATATAATATTAACAATAATGCCACTTGTTATTTAATAGTAATAAGACTTAATAATAATACATACAGAAAAGTAAAAATAGTAACATTATGTAGATGAAGGTATGCTGGACATTGATATCTGCTGGGCTCAGAACACCTACACTATCTATATGGCAGTTTCCCATAGAGAAAAGTGTGACTTGATCACCAGAGCAAGATTTTATGGCAGTGACAGAGATATTGTTTTCTGCAGTCACCCCGTTTTCACCACTCTCTGTAGATCAATATAACACTTCGGTCTGGAAAGACGCCAGCATCTTATAGTTATTTATGTTTTTTTTTTTTTTGGCAGACAGACCAAAAAGTTCACCTGGGACACACAGCGATCTATGAGGTATAACCAAGATGCACAGAGACAAGAAGGTACAGCATAACAATTGGCTCTTCTTTCCAACCAGCCTCTATAGCTAAGACTTTGTGAACCTGGCTTGTAATGCTGAGATACCTGGTTCTATTCTTGCTATGGGCAGTCTGCTAGCAAATTTGCTCATGTTGATTTGGGCCTGTCAGTCCAGAATTGCTGTTCAGAAAACAATGGCAAACTACTGAGTGTAAGACTGTGTAGTGAAATCTCCAAACAACCAACAGATGCTAGGTTGGTTTTACAACATTCTGCAAACGGTAGACAACTAACATTTTCTTCAACCTCTGATCTGGTGCCATCTGTAGACATGTTCTTGCCTTCTTTCTTATCTGCCTTCTATTCCCCCTTGGAGCAAAGGCCCTCAACCAACTCACGGCATCATTCTATCCTTCGCTATTGCATGCATCTCACCTCATTTCCTCCTCATCTTTTTAACTTTATTCTCTAGCTCCCTTTAGAAAAGCTTCCCCTTTATCTTGGTTGGCTGGGTATTTCTTGTTTCTCTTTTTGACTTTTCCATGATTGTTGGGTTTTTGTGGCTATTGTTTTTACACGACGAGGTAGCCAACCCCAGACCCAACCCTGTCCATGATTGTTTGGTTTTTACACGACGAGGTAGCCAACCCCAGACCCAACCCTGTCCATAGTTACCTTTCACAACATGCCTGGTAAGGTGCAGAGTTACTGTTCTTTGCTTCTCGTGAGGGCCACGGTAACACACAAGCGGACATTTTCTGGTATTATGTTACAGTTTTTCAGTATTGGAAACACCAAGATGTGTCCCAGTGACTTGGCACCTGAAAATGCTGAGCCTGTACTCCAACTCTGTAGACTGTCTGTTGCTAACAGAGAGGCCCATCTTTCCTGGGCCAACCTCAGTCACAACATATCTCTATGGCACACAGGGAGATTTCAACTGCATAGTAGCTTTTGTCAAGGCTACTGGCCTCATGGTTTAGGGTTTTCTGACAGAAGGATCAAAGAAGAAGAAATTATTATCATGGAAACCAATTGGAGAAATTAAATGGATGTTATTGCATTGATTCATCTATTAGAAACAACACTCTGTGCATATAAGATTTGCTAACCTTCAAGCAGCAGATGTCACACTAGCTAACAGTTGTAATTTTTTGACATTAGTAATTATAAATGTATGTTTATTTTTATTGTAGGTGTCAACTTCTCTGTGGTTTATGGATTGGGGGGGGGCAGGGACAGAATAGACCCACTGCCCCTGCTAACAAGCATCTTGTAAAAGACGACTATTAGGAAGTGTTTCCTTGGAAGCTGAAGTGCATATGCCTGAGCAGTAGTCTGCATGTAAATAAGCCAGATTTTTATACATGGATGTGCATGCAAAAACTCAAGTTCTGGAACAAGACCAAAGCCCAGGAGGGGAAAAAAGCAAAACATTCCATTGGATTTACATCAGGTGAATGCACAGAAGTGAAGACATTCTCCAGAACAGGAAGAAACACAAGTGCCAACATTGATGTATGCCAGTTGAAGCAGGTGCAAGATTTTACATATCAAGGGAGCATTTTTTTTTATAGAAGACACAAGAATTAATTGAGAAATCCAACAAACTTGCAATAAAGCCAATCAAGTTTTAGGCCAAATGGCACACATTTTGGAATGAAAGCATGTGAATATAAACACTAAAAGAACACTGTTCAACACAGTATTCTTACCAACACTATGCATTCAATGTTAAACGTGGACACTGTCTTCTGTCACGACAGAAATGAAATGTTTACGTACTATGCTAGGTCTAATGAGGAAAGATCGACCTAGGAACAATGCTGTAAGGAGGAGAGTCAACACAGAACCAGTACTGAATGTTATAGGTAGACAACAAATCAAATGGTTTGGCAATGTAATAAGATTGGCATCAAATAGGGCACCACAGAGAGAAAGATACAACAGATACAACGGTAACAGACCCAGAAGTCAACCACGCAGAAAAGTGACAGCAGAAAAATCAGACACTAAAAAGTACTTTATACGGAGCAAACAGAAGGGCCCGTTCCAGAGATCTCTCCCAGCCCGAATGCTGTGGGGTATTCCAGGTGTAGAGAAAAGAACAAGAAGAAGAAGCTACCAAGTCATCTGCAAAATATCACTCCTGTTTCTATTCTACAGATATTTTTAAAAAAATGGAATACTGATTTCATTAGCTTACTAAGTTTACTTATGGGCCACAATTGTGAAAATGAGCATTGGCACAGGTCAGAAGAAGCCGCCATGGGTTAGCAACTAGATCCTCGCCTGCGGATCGAAAGGTCATCGGTTCTGGTCCTGACGGCGCCGCTATTTTTTTTTTTTCAGAAATGACTTAGGCTCCTATGTCGACCCAGCCTTAACTGGGTACCAGATACAGATACTGGGTACCAGATACAGATACTGGGTACCAGATACAGATACTGGGTACCAGATACAGATACTGGGTACCAGATACAGTCCTGGGTACCAGGTACAGTCCTGGGAAGTAAATGGGCCCAGCGTGATGCTGACCCCATCGCCCACTGAGGGCTGATAGGTGTACAAAATATAGGTCTAGCCCTATATGCCCAGTGTGCCTGAAGGCATGGACAGTTATAACTTCATGGACCAAAGGCCTGAGCTCCCGAGTCCCAGCTCAGAAAGATCATTATTACAATACAACTGACAATGATCTGTAACTATTTCCTAGGCCTCCAGGGGCCTAATATGATCCACCCGCTGCCAGTTGAATAGCCTTTTTTTTTTTAAGAAGGCACAGAACAGTTCTTCAAGTGTCTTATAGAATAAATGTGCTGCCTCAGGAGATTTGCCAGCAGTTTTGTTTGTGTATGAGAGAGCTGTATTTCTGTATATAAGTGAAGTCCTGGTAAATTTTGCATCCAGCATCTATCCGGGGTCAGTTTCGGACATCTTAGAGTGGAAGTTGTGTTAAACTAGTCTGAATGTGATAGTCTAGTTCAAGTGTGGCCTTCTAGGAAGTTTGAAACCACTGTGACTGGTCCAGCACACCAACAGTGGCTTACTAAATGCTCGTAGAAAATAAAGAGATCTCACGAACCGACTAGAATGAAAGGGAGAATGAGAGGGAGAATGAAAGGGACAGCATACGAAGTGAGCAGAAGAGCCCATTCCAACGATCTCTCCCTACTCTGACGCTGCGAGACATTCCAGGAGTAGAGAAAAGAAAAAGAGAAGAAGAAGAAGACGAAATCCTTCATCTTGTGTGATTCTTATTTTGTGTGTGTGTGTGTACAGATGCCCGGAGAATGAAGGAGATTCGCCTGTATTTAACCAAGTTGAGGCTGACCGCAGAAAAAGTGGAGAAACCAAAGAAAGAGGTTTGTTGAGTATTTCTATTTGAGTTTAAAAAAAACATTTAACAAAGTTATAAGTAACTTGTACAAACAAACATCTTTTAGAAAGCCAGCTTTACATCACATTTTCCTGTAAGCCTCAGTGACAAAGGTCACGGTGACTGTGTCATCCGAAACATTTTTGGAGGCCCCAGGGAAGTTGAATGGCTCCTTTCCATCATTTCAGATGATAGTGTTCAATTGTGCTATGAGGAGACATGGGACGCACAGCCCAGGGAGAGTGTGACTTCCACAATTATAGCATGGGATTTCAGGACCGTTGTTGTCAACATTTGTGTTTTCTGTTTCTTCTCACACATTCAGCTCTAACCCTTTCTGCAATCATTTCTTTCTTCGTTCTCATTCCTGAAAACCCTCAGACGCCCAAATGTATCCCCTCCCAGGCAAAGTATACCATGTAATATTATACCCTGTTTATAGTTGCTGATTACTCACTTCATGTCTTTATGTATTTTTTTAAATAGTGACTTTTATTTTATTTTTTAAAAAAAAATTTTTTAGGAATTTTTCTAGAATTCTAAATGGGTCAGAACCTTTTTTTTTTAGTGTTCCCGGGGTAAAAGGATGAAAGTGCTTACCTCATTCAGTATCTAGCAACCCACTGTGCATTTTTTAGTTTCAGTTCTCATTGTGACCCATCCTGTTGTTACAGAGACCCATCCGGTGGTTAAAGTGACCCATTCTGTTGTTACAGAGACCCACTCATTTGTTATAATGATCTATTCAGTTGTTACAGAGACCAACCGGTCATTACAGAGACCCATCCAGTTATTACAGAAATCAATCTGGTTGTTACAGAAATCCATCCATTTGTTACAGAGACTCATCCGGTTGTTACAGTAACCCATCGAGTTGTCACATTGACACAGTTCTTACTTTAACTCCCCAGTTTCTTAGTTAACTCCCCTTGACCCATAAACTATTTTTATAACCAGTAAGACAGAAAAATTGATTGTTCAAAGATGGTAATCCCTAACACCCTTAGACACCCATATATCTCCCTTCAATCATTACAGCATATGATTAATAGGGTCTTCATCCCTACTTTATGCTAACAGTGCCAAACATGGACAAAGAATAGAGCACTAGAACAGAAAATAACTACTTGTGAGATGTGCTGTCGCTGTAAGGTCACTACCAGCACAAGAAGTGACAGGGTTACGAATACCAGCGTTAGAGAGAAAGTTGGAATAAGCTCATGTCTGGATTATATTGACAGACCAAGAATGAAATGGTTTGGTCATCTAGTGAGAATGTAGCCAGACCAAACTGCATATGAGACTTTTACTGCAGAACATCTGAGAGGAAAGCGAAAGGAAGACCAAGAAAGAGATGGATAAGTGGTGTCGCTGAAACCTGCGGAAAGATGAACAAATCTGTCACCCAAGTCTCCCGAGAATCACAAGACAAGTAAAGAAAACCATGATACTGGGCTAAAACCTGGTATCAGTGAGACCTGGTATCAGTGAGATGACAAAAGAAGAAGAAGAAAGAACTTTAGGAAGAAGAATGAGATCTGTTACTACGTTGCATTGTTACTATTTTGTACCAATTTTTTGTTTGTTACTGTAACTAACTGCAAGTTGTGTACATTTCTGTATACATCTACAATCATCCATATTATACTTGCCAATTTGTGAAGTTGCAGCACACCAATGTAGGTCATGCTGCCACAAAAACGTCACAATTCTGTTTTATTGTTTCACTCTTTATCCTGTATTTAGTTTGCAGGAGGGATCTATAGTAAACTAGAGAGCCAATGGAAGGTTACCAACTCACAGTTTCAAGGGAAACCCCAGCCCCAGTCTCAGACAAGGTAATTTGTTTAAGACCACCAAGTAATTCATGGGTGTTTTCAATCTAACTTTAAAAAAAAAAATTTTTTTTGATTTGATTTGATTTGATTTGATTCAAGAACCGACACTCGGGGCATTCCTATAAGCGCTCCGTCCCCCATCTTCAACAGCCAGTGAAGAGTTCCGATACTAATGGTGCCAGTAGCATTCTGATTAAACGTCCGTCTTGCCTTTCCTCTGAGCCTAGAGCATCTGCCAGAACCTCTCGTCACTCCCCCCTGCATCAGTCTCACCAGACTGTGGTGATCCATCTGCTCCTCTGAACTGTCAACGCTCTCCCACAAGGCACTAACCACGTCTGCCTTATCCCAACACACCGACATACCTGGGAAAAAATCCAGACAATACTCCTCACCCGTATCCTCCGCAGCGAAGCATGCCACTCTGCACGAAGCATACCTGTTCTGATCTTCCTCAGCATGCTTTCTCAGTCAGTTACAATCACGATGTCTGTGTGTATCGTGTTCTCTAGCCAGCCGAAAGCTGCAGTGACATTTAATTTTTTTTTTTTTTTTAAAGGATAACCTAGCTTTTGAAAGAAACAAAATTTTGACATTCATAATCTTCGTGATTTAACAGGTGAAATTGTTCAAAATGCACACAAAAATACCTTAGGGTTCATCCAATCATTTGACAGTTGTGTTTTTTTTTTTGCATCTGGGTCCTGGATACTTTCTAGGCATGTGGGCTGTCTGTCAACTAATAAAAACACACCATCGAATAACTATGCGTTTCTTTTTTTTTTTTTTTAACAGTAGTTTAGTGAATTATTGATGTTTTCATACTAGTATAGAGTTTTTCATAAACTCTTAATTGATGCTCGTTAAATGCAGTCATTTTGCCCATTTTCTTGTGAAAGTAAAATCTAGAGACAAAAATGTTTACGCAGCCAAACAGCACCAAAGACAGCAACAGTCGTTTGTTTTCACAGTTTATATTGTAAGGATGATGCAACAGACTGCAATGATTACAGTTAGTATGTCCTAAAGTCACCACGTTGAGTTGATTCAAGAACTGATATCACAGCACTCATGGCATTTCCATAAGCGCTCCATCCCCATCTTCAGCGCAGTCAGCGTGCTTTCTGAATCAGTTACAAACATGTAAACAGTTGTTACAATACTCCATAACGTTATGGAAATATGTGTTCACTAGCTGGTCTTAAGCTTTTGGCCACCACTGTAATATAAAGTAACAGAGACATGACAAAACTGGGAGATTGCCAACTGTAGTATAATGTAGCATCTTTTGTAGTACAATATAATGTCAAACATATCAGTGACATGACAGCACTGGGAAAATACTGTAGTATAATGTAGCAACATTTGTAGTACAAAATAATGTCAAACATATCAGTAATATGACAGGACTGGTAAAATACTGTAGTATAATGTAGCAACATTTGTAGTACAATATAATGTCAAACATATCAGTAATATGACAGCACTGGTAAAATACTGTAGTATAATATAGCAACATTTGTAGTACGATATAATGTCAAGCATATCAGTGAAATGTTGTTCTTGTTGATCCTGTTGGCACCTTTCCGCCTTTTCCAGATGATAGTGTTATTTTATACTATGACGAGGTATGGGACACAGCCCATGGTGATGGTCAGTGTGACTAGTAAGACCCGTTTCGTTAAGAAAAGCCTTTTACAATTAAAGCATGGGAGTTCACGACCATTGTTGTCATAAGATCTAATTAGTGTAATTCTTCTCAGACACTCAGCTCTTATTCTTCCTGCATTATAAGTGTTATTTGTTGGTTCTTCTTTTATATTCGTTACCTCTGCCATGAACTTTGTAAACAAAAAGACATGATTCTGACACAGCGGCTGCCATAGTAAAACAAGCGGGTTTGTTTGTTGTTGAGTGTGTACTTCAGTTATAAATCACTTATTTTCTTCATTTATTTAATTGTTACTGTAGTATGTACCTGACGAGATACAGCGAAATATTCCAGGAAATATATTGTGTAATATATTCTGTATGTCTTCTTTATTAAAATTTACAACGGGGAAACATTGCTTTGATTTGGGGGTTTTTTTCCCCCCAATAAAATTGAACAATGATAAATGTATTTGTTTAATGCTCCTACTGGGTGAAAGGCTTAAACTAACAATAAAATATTTCAGACAATTCAGTAGCTGCCTTTCTTTCCCCAGATCTCGTGTTAAACCAGTGGGACTTGTCAAGCCATCTGTCTCTTAGCGACATCTTGTTGCCCTGATGTTCTACATGATCTGGCAGCAGTGAGGCCTCTTGCCCTGCCCATGTCATTGTTGTGAATGGCTGTTTTCATGAACGTGCTGGTGTTGACTGAGTTCAGATTTGATTTGGTAATCTCCATCTCCAGTACTCTTGACTTGTCCTCTATTGGATGCAGATGGGTGAGAGAGTGAGGTCAACAAAATTGTGCAATTCCTCCTCACTTTAAACTAGTTCATTACAGAGGTCACATTTTCAAACATTTCACCCAAGAAAACCTAAACTGGCTTCATCAGAAAAAAATTGATTTTTATTTTCATTAATTGCATCACGAATAACTCAGCAAACCTTTCTTTTTTTGCTGACCGATGCAGGTGTTCAAGGCAGGGAACATGCAGATTATCTGGCAGACAAGACATTTACTCCGGAAATGGACAGTAGTGATGTCATTATTGTCATGGGAAATGCATGTCACAAAGAAGATCGCAACAACAAACTGGACCCAGTATCCTTGTCATGGTTGGTTAAAAGTGGGGTGTACCCTAAGCCAGGCAGATATGGACATTTCACCAAGGGCACACGACATCTGATTAATCAACACAGAACAGGTGTGGTCATTCATTTTGTTGTAGGACTATTGAGGAGGAGACCAGAGATCCTGTGGATCTGCCTGGAGTACTGTGAGGATAGTCCTCACTGATCACTAGTCATCCAGACATTGTTGCCCGCCCACATTGCCCTAGATCCTTCCAGCTTGCTTCCTTTGTGAGAAAACAAAATTTTCCTATTCAGCCAGCATCCTCAAAGGGAAAGCTTTAGGTTATAATTGTGACTAGGTTTATTTGCGCCATATAATGTGGCTTATCATTGCTCGCCACCAAGTAGCCCTGAGAAGGACTCTTGCAGCATTGATGCGATCAAAAGAGACAGACCCAAATACAATGCCGACCAACATTGAAGTTGTCAACCAGCCTGCCAATGGGCGATCCAGTCGCCGATGTAAATCCATCGAGGCCTATGCTAGGCTGACAATCATTTACAGTTTCATGATGGATGAAAGAGTGGTCCCCCCTCCCTTTTGATGAATGAACAACTAGTAATGGAGCCAAACCTGGACAGACTAAATGGCAAGAGAAGACATCCTCACAAGTGATAAATGCTTGATAAATGCCAGCTTCAGTCTTGATTCTATTGCCCCCTTCGGCCTGCTACCTAGAGGTTTCATCACCATGAGAATAAATCTTAGTCTGGGTGAGAAACTAACCAATGAACCTTTAAACAGCTGATATTTGGGGCACCCTGATGATTACAGCCGACTGTTGTAACCTGTAGTCTTGTGTGGGTCAGAAATTATCTCCTGTAAAAAAATAAACCAGCTCACTGCCAGAAGTTTAAACTTGGAGCACTACTAGAAGAGATAAAGCCTTATCACAAATTTTCCATAAAAGAGTCTTAGGAATAATCTTAGGACCCATCAAAGATGCAGACAGTGGGGAATGGAGAGTGATAAACAATAATGAAATTCATAATCTGTTTAAATCACCATTTGTTCACTGGCATTTTGGGAACTAACAGACTGAAATGGCTGGGGCATATTTGAGAGAATATCAGATGACAGAGAAGTAAAAACTGTACACACGAGGGAGATGAATAGTCGTAGACCACGAGGCAGACCAAGAAGACGATGGAGAGATAATATCCAGACAGACCTGCAAACACTTGGTGTCACCAACTGGAAAGAAAAGGCCAACCAGAGAGATGAATAGAGGCGGTTGATATTTCCAGCAATTAACCTCAAAATGCTGAATAACAAGAAGAACTACCAGGTGTATGTGTATGTATGAGATTGCATGTATGGGTGTGAATAAGTCTTTGTGTGAGTATGTGTGTGCATGCATGAGTAAGTGTGTGTATGTGTGTGTATATGTATGTGTGTGTGTGTACTGATCCTAAGGTCATGGAGTCAAATCTGAACGGACCTGGACTTTGTGTGTGTGTGTTTAACTGACCTCGGCTGCCCGGTCGACACAGCCTTAAATGGGTACCAGGAAAAGTCCTGGGAGGTAAAGGCAGCTGGAATTGCCCCATTGCCCACCAAGTGCTGATTGGTCTGTAAAATATACGTTTATCCCTATATTCCTAATATGCAAGAAGGTCTGGAAAAGGGGCCATTTATGTATGTTTGAATGATTTATGAATATTATGTATGTATGTACATACATATATGTGTGTATGTTTGTATGTATGCACGTGCTATGCATATATTTATGCTTGAATACATGCATTTTCCATCAATGCTTTTGTGTTATTGTTTTTATTTTAAACTTAATATTCATATAATGTATTTGTCATGTGAATATAATATGCCTTATTCATAAAATACTAAAGGTCTGAATTTAAGACGGACGTAAGTGCTCAGTTTATGACCCTTTGAATAAACAGTTTGTTCATTTTTTCATTAGAAGATTGGAGATAAATAGCTTATTTAACACAATCCACCAAACGTTCAAATTTATTAAATTGAATAATCCAACTTCTCAACTTATTTAACTTCTCCATTACTCAACTTTCCAGCTTATTTAACTCTACCCAACTTTCTAGCTTATTCAACTCTGCCTAACTTTCTAGATCATTTAACACCTCCACTAGCCAAATTTCTAACTTTTAAAACTCATTGTCTAACCTTCTAGTTTATTTAACTCCTCCACTATCCAACTTTCTAGCTTTTTTGACTCCTCCAACATCCAAATTTTTGTTTATGTAAATTGACCCTATTTTTTTTAGCTTTGTAACTCTTCTATCTTTCAGCTTATTTGACTCCTTCATTACCCAAAATATTAACTTTTCAAACTCCATTATCCTAATTTCTAGATTACATAACTTTACACAATTTTCTAGCTTATTTAACTCTACCACACATTTTAAGTTATTTAACTCTACCTAAATGTCTAGCTTATTCAAGTCTATCCTTTTTCTAGCTTATTTGATTCCTTCTTTACCAAATTTTCAGCGTTATACTCTCTGTACCCAATACTTTACTTTTTAAGTTTTCGAATCTATTTTCTAACTTATTTAATTTGTTTAAAGTTGAGAGGGTATACTGTGCCAGGTTTGAACCCTTATAGTTTGGTCTTTCATTGCCTGCAAGAGCATTGCATAAAGCACAAACTACCTAGTTCCAGAGACTATCCCAGTGATCTCTGAAACAGACGTGTGATTAGTGAGGATTATCATCATCATCATCAGAAGAAGAAGAGGAAGAAAAAAGAGACGACGATTAAGAAGATGAAGAAGAAGGGGAAAAAGGAGAAGATGAAGGAGTCGGAGAAGAAGAAGAAAAAGGAGGAGAAAAGATATTTATCAACACGAAAGATTATCTGTGTCCATGCTTGCCATACCCCCCGCCCCTCCCCCCAAGTAAATTATTTAGAAGTATCAAGAGCCGACCGTTCAATATTATGGCCAACTAAGGAAATTAAATGTGCCTATAAAAACAACACACACACACACACACGCACACACACGCACGCGCGCACAGACAGACAGACACATACACACGTTGACATTGCCTTGAAACACCAAGGAAACGAGACAATTGACACTGTCTGGACGCTCCGAGGAAACGAGACAACTGACATTGTCTTGACACAACGATGATGATGATGATGTTTATGAAGGTGATAATGATTATGGTGGTGATGATGTTGATGGTGGGAATTTTGATGATGTTGATGATGACGGTGATTATGATGAGGTGATGATGATGATAATGATGATGATGATGATGATATGTTCACGATGGTGGTAGAGTTGATAGTAATAATGATGAGGATAATGGTGATTATGATGATGGTGATAATGTTGGTAATGCAGATGGTGTTAATGTTGGCTGTGATAATGTTGATGATGATGGTGTTAGTGATGATGATGATGATGGTGATAATGATGATGATGATGATGGTGATAATGATAATGTTGATGATAGTGATAACGATGATGATGATGGGGATAATAATGATGTTGATGATATTGATAACGATGATGATGGTGGTGATAATGATAATGTTGATGATAGTGATAACAATGATGATGATGGGGATAATGATGATGTTGATGATATTGATAATGATGATGGTGATGGTGATAATGATAATGTTGATGATAGTGATAACGATGATGATGATGGGGATAATGATGATGTTCATGATGTTGACAACGATGATGATGATGTTGATAATGATAATGTTCATGATAGTGATAACGATGATGATGATGATGGGGATAATGATGATGTTGATGATGGAAGTTAGTTAAAAAATTGATCACCGTCTTAAGTTCACTGCCAATTGGACACCCAAAGACGATCCGCACTCCGTGGATGATGTGCTCAGCATCACGCAGGCCGCCTTTAATTCCCAGGACTTGACCTGGTTCCAATTTAAGGCTGGGTAAACCTGGGAGCCGAGGTCTCTTTGGATTTGAACTCACGACCTTCAGACCCGCATACGAGCTTTCAACCGTTACATCAAGGCGGCTCCAGCTGTCAGCTATGCAACTGGATTTAAAAAAATTACATTTACAAATTGATGGTGATGGTGATGAGGATGATGATGAGGGTGATGATGAGGATGATGATGATGATATTGATGATGATATTGATGATGATGAGGATGATGATGTTGAGGATGATGATGATATTGATGATGATGAGGAGGAAGAGGATGATGATGATATTGCTGCTGCTGATGATGAGGATGATGATAAGGATAATGATGATGATGATATTGATGAGGATGAGGAGGAGGATGATGATACTGATGATGAGGATGATGATGATGATGATATTGATATTGATGATGATGATGATGTGGATGATGATGATGAGGAGGATGATGATGATATTGATGATGATGATGAGGATGATGATGATGCGGATGATGATGATGATGATAATGTTGGAGACAAACGAGCATAACTACATACTACAGTGAGAGCCTTACCTG